CCACCCCGATAATCGACCCATCAAGCAGCATCAGGAACGCCGCGAGAGTGACACTGGCCAAAACAGCAAAGAGTTTGAGGCCCGTGATGTACTCGTGGCTCTCATCGGCCGTCGTTGCGCTCCTCAGCGCCCTCTCACTGTCACCAGCGCCAGTCATACCGTCTTCTTTCTCATCCGGCAGCGGGTGATGCAGCTCCCACTCCGACTCCGTGGGAGCTGGTCTGGTCCGTGGCGAGGATTGAACGTTGTCCATTTCGCACGTTCTGGTTAGAGTTATCAGGTGGTGAGTTAAGATACGCGAATGCGGGTGAATGTAGGGTATAGTAAGAAGAAAGGGGTATAGTATAAAGGAGAACTGGAATCAGGGTCCAAGGGATAGAGACGCAGAAAAGCATTGGGCAGAAACCCCTAGCCCCTAACAGGCATCCAAACCTCACAGCAGACCCTGAACTTGTAAGACCCCTCAATCAGCTCGGTGGGCAGCAGCCACCTCCCAGAAGGCATTTGGCGGCCTGCAGCCCCGGCGAGCGGTGGAAATTGCCGAAGATCGACAGTCCCGCCAGTACCTCCGCCGCTAAGTCCGGGGTCGCACAGCCCTAATCCACACTATCGATAGGGACTGCAACCACGGAATGGCTGCACGCTTTATCTGTTTCTGTTGCGGTGACAAGGATGTGCATGTATGCTGCTGCAGACGCCTGTAGATTCTTGTCGACTACTGCGCGCTACTGCACACTACTGCACACGGGATGGACTGATGCACTCCATTGGGCCTTTCGCGATGCGCGCCACATTTACCCGAAAGGGAAATCCTCAAAATAAGCAAGCATGGCAGCTGATGAGTGGGTCCTGACGAATGGGCGAAATCACCGAATCGAGTCCCTGCGGTGACCAGTGGCCAGGGGTGGTGAAGATTACCACGGTCTAGAGCAGATGGTCGAACCCGATCGCCCGGAGTAGACCCTAAGTCGAGCATAACCAGGTGAAATTTGATAGTTGATTAGTGAAAGCCACAAGAGTGAACTAATCGAAAGCAAGGTTACCCGCCTCGGAAAAGAGTCCCAGAGACACATACCCCTCCAGTCACTCCGTCGACAAGACTTTGCTCTGGCAGAACTCGATGCTTGGTCTACAACATGTAGTGTTTGCTGGTGGCCAAGATTTATCCTGCGATCGGCTCAGAGACCCTGCTCCAATAGACTCAATACAATGCCCTATGCGTTACTGTAGGCATAAACAGAGATACATAGACTATAATGAAACACCCATGTAGATATCCGCTCTTCCAGGGTCGTGTCCCGAAGACCTGCAGTCATATTGGAAAGACACATTTCTACCACTCGGATTCCGACAAACCTAAGTTGAAGTAATGCTATATACAACCTCGCTCCTTAAACCCCCCCGCAAACAATCCTATGGCTTCAACATAATCAGAACACTAGATGTCGCAACAACCAAGCTCTATATCCCGAGTCAATCCAAACACCTTACCCGCCTCATCTTCCCTCTCAATGCCTCTATCACCCCCAGCCCGCCTCTCTCCCGCCCACCCCCGGCATTCCCAGCATCCAACTCCACCTGCATCAACGTCGAGAACAGCAACTGTCCACTGGGCCCACTGAACAGCCCCTCCGGCTTTTGTTGCGTGTCATCCAGCCCCGTCCGCGGCAATGATAGGCAGAACTCCTCCGGCAGACCGAGCAGCATCTCGATCGGTCGCAGCTGACTCCCTGTCAGACAGTACAGTAGGTGACTCAGCATGCCCAAGCCGGGGGGAACAGCGATACCCCCCAGGAACAGCTTGGGGGCCGCTTGCGTCGCCAGCGTGAGGGCTGTGGGGTTCAGCCGGGCCTGCTCGATGAAGTGGCCGAAGATGGCATCGTAGATGGAGATCGTGAGCAGGTGACAGCTGAGGATGGTGAGGAGGTCGGCGATGCTGAGGCGCGGGTGGGTGAATGCTCGGGTGGCGGCGGTGTTGCTGCTGGCAGGGGTCTTGGTAGCTAGGTGGTGGCTGTTCGTGAATTCTGACGAGGGAGAGGCTTGGATTGACCGGAGAAATTGAGCAAAGTCCGCAGCCGTGTGTGCAATTTTGGCGAGTGGGTTGGTGGTGGTGATCTGGAGATCCGGTGGGCTCGGCTGAGTGGTGGACTCGCAGCCGCCGGCTTCGTGGAGGCAGGTCAGCCACATGGCTTTGGTAATGTCCCATGGCATCGACCGGAGAGTGAAGAGTTGTTTGGACAGTTCTCGCTGGAGCACGGAGAGGTGCAGGCCGTGGTCGAAGGTCGGAGGGGGCAGCTGGTCGCCAAACAGCGGCAGCAAGCCCGGGTCGATGGGCTCGAGCTGCAGGAGCGGGAGATGCTCGGTCGGGCTGGTGTCCGTCATCGGGTCATTGAGTAAGGCTGCTGGTGAGGGTCCATCCGGCGGTGTTGATGGAGAGGACATGGTCTGGATGGTCGCACTGCCATCAATCGGGAACCCGACATCGATGGAGTTCCACGGAGCATGGCTCATCTCGTAGTCGGCGTCCAGCAGTTCGAGGTTGAACCAGTCGTCCACGCTGGTCAGAGCGTGGAGATCCACCGTGGGAAGAGATGGACTCGGATTGCGCGGGCTGTGCATATCATCATTGTTACATTTCGATCGAGTCGAGCCAGTGGTCTGTCGCGAAGCGGTGGTCGAGTTTCTGGGTCGACCCGGCCGCTTGGATGAACTGGTTACACATTCCATCTGAGATCGAATGCATCGAATGCACGAGTCGGCGGGGTGGCCGGGGGCACGAACGCAACGCAGCTTTTGCGTCCTGCAGCGATCACAGGCGGCTCGTTTGGGGGGGGTGTTGGAGTCCAACATTGGGAAGGGTGCATGCAGTATCGATCAGTCAACCTTAAGTGCAGTGTCGCGGTCCATCGTCAATGTTCAATGTACCATCGCTGCTGATTCTTATACTTTGACTACAATACCAGCAGCCCTAGAGGCTCAGGCTATGGGCAATGTGTTCTGATTTTGCTTTTCCTTCCTACGGCACCACATTCCATGGGGAGTTCTGATCGACGCAGCCCTCTGCAGGCGACGAGATTGATAACCACCCACTTAAGGGCTCTCAATACTCCGATGGGGTAATCGAGCCGACATAATCCAGAATGAACTCTTATCCCAGTTGTTGTTATCCCCCGGAAGGGTTCATTGGCAGTATGTGGGCTCATTTACAACCAAAGTACGTGAGCATACCAGCAAACAGGCAAGCATCCTAGCCGGCCCGCGAGCAGAGGAAACCCTACCTTCACGGTGCTCATGTCTTTGCCACTGTGTCTCCGACCCTGGAGCAGCACAAGGATGCATGACAAAAGGGAATACTTCCCCGAGTCAGCACTAAAGCGGGGGACCAAGCCACCAGGCTGAAATCAATGTTGCAGAGGGGGGCAGACGAACCCTTGGCTCTAGTGGCCTGGGACTAGTCGCATGATCCAGCCCCAGAATGGAGGATAATGCATACAAGGCGTCTGGCGGTCCTCTGATGACCCTCTTTGGACTCGCCCATGGATTGCAGTGGGTCTTCTTCTTCGCCATCTCACTGCACGGGGCGTTGGCTAGAATTACTATCGTCTGAAGAAGGCGATCATTCGAATCTAGTGCCTCCGCAGTGGCGAGGCCGTGCGGATCAGCCGGCCGCACGGTCGCTCCCGCTCCAAATTCTGATGATGTGATCGTCTCTCCTCCGTACAGAGAGATTTGATCATTGCTAACTCAATTAAGGGATTCCTCATACATCGGGCCCATTACTACTCCGGAATCGGCAGCGATAGGGGTGAACAGGCCGGGGATCCGCACAGGGTCCAGAGCCCGCCCGAGAATAGGGGCGGTCCAGGCGACCCGGCATTTAGAATTTGCTCCCGCTTTCGGCGTCGCTCGGCTGGCTCCTGTCTGAGTGATTAGAAGATTATCTACCTTGTACTATGCAAGATACAATCCTCGTGATAAAAACTCTGGAATTGTTCCAAGCAACTGAGAGGTCAGGAACCGTGCGGAGAGAATGACAACGCAATAGTGCCCTCTCATGCAATTCTCAACTTCTGAAGGATTTCTCGTTGAGGACCAGAAGAAAGCGGAAGTGGTGATCGACGGCTAGAGGGAAGACTGCATGACCTCATGGCGATCAATGGGCCGTCTTAAGCTTACTCCTACTGATTGGTGGTCTTGACTCTTCACATCACTTGGTGGAACTCTCTGAGTATCCTGTACTCTGCATTGACTCTGCAGAGCGCTGATAACTGTGGGGCTAAAGCTGTCCAGGCTGTCCTAAGAAGTCTTTTCCGGTGCTATTCAGCGGGGGAGTTTGACAGCTAACTTAGGGCTTCCACGCTCGTGTCTGTGCAAGCTTCTACCATCGTTGAACCCTGTTTATATCTACTAGCTTCCTACGTATTGAGTGGTAGGCATGCTGGATGGGCGAGCTAATGGCTTTGTTGGGGTTGAAACAATGTTGGGGTGGGCTACGCTGCCGGTCGCCCACGGCGGGCCACATTGCCGTATATCCTGTCGACAAGGCTGTTCTATCGCAGGTTGACCGTGGTTACTGGCTGCAAGATCGAGCTGGAGATGGGTTCGGTGTCAGTGCCTCCTAGCTTAGATCCCGAACCCTGTCCCATGCACCGCAGAGGCAAAAAGGTGTATCGTCCTCAGCGGCCTCTCATAAAACTGCTACAAGAGCATGCGTACCCTCAGCACACAGCGGGGTAGCTACTAGGCAACCATGAACCTATCGGTTGACTTCAGAAAGATGAATATAATGAATCGACAAAGATACAATACCCCTCTTGAATTGTTTTCCCTGCGAGCCACGTGTGACGTTGGGGCTACACAGGCTGACTTAGCTTCCCACCCAATAACTTCCACCTACAAGCCTATGATCTACTTGATAGTAAATCTGCAGCATACCATGACATCAACAGACTTGGTGCACCAATGAACAACGATTCTCCAGCTGCCAAAATCATCCGAGTCACCATTGAAAACTGCCGAATGTCTGTAGAGACGCTCAACCATCCGACCGACGGGCGGGGTAACTCCGACCGCTAAGCCCGACAACACCAGCCCTAATCCGCAACAGCCTAGCATTGCAATCAACTTTCCCCTCCCTAATCACCGATTAGCGCCCATAACTGCAGCTTGGCCTGGGGGTCACATCACAGCGCGGGCGTGCGGCGGAGCAAACCTGAAGACGAACTCCGCAAGCAAACTTCAGATGGCCAGGTATAAAGCCTGGGATCGTCCAGCTTGAAGCACTATCATTCTCATTCGCATCATCAACACTTCCCCCTTCACCTCCCATTGCATTGCTCCATCGCCCACTCAACAAGATGAACCCCGTCAACACCAAGCCCTACCAGCTCCCGGCCGATGCAACCTGGTTCAGTATGCCTCCCCACCCCCAAAGTCCAAACACCACCCACTGACACGCACAGTAACCGGCTGCTCCAGCGGTATCGGCCGCGCGCTGGCCACGCGTGTCGCTGCTCAACGCGGCCACCGCCTCATCGCGACCGCCCGCAACCCTGCCAGCCTCTCCTACCTGCCCGACGACAACCCCTCGATCCTCAAGCTCGCACTGGACGTGACCTCCCCCGAGGCGGTGGACGCCGCCTTCGAGGCCGCGGCAGCCCACTTCGGGGACAGCTCCTATATCGACGTGCTGGTCAACAACGCAGGCTACCCGCTGTCCGGAGACAGCGAGGCCGTGACCGAGGCGGAGATGCACGACGAGTTCGAGACCAACTTCTTCGGGACGGTGCGCGTCGCCCTGAAGGCTGTGGCGGTGATGCGGCAGTCGCCCACGCGCCGCGGTGGGCTCATCTTCAACGTCTCCTCCGTGGCGGGCGTGTGCGCCTTCCCGGGCCATGCCTTCTACCACGCCAGCAAGTTCGCAGTCGAGGGGTGGACCGAGTCGGTGGCACGGGAGGTGCACCCTGATTGGAACAGTATGTTTCTCTTACCCGGGTGTCTGGAATGGTAAGGGAAAGTGGGTGTGCTGACCGTCGGAAGTCAACTTCTGCATCGTCGAGCCCGGCGCCGTCAAGACCAACTTCGAGACGACCAGCAAGAAGCACATCAAGCCGCACGAGGCCTACGCCGCGCCCGATCTGCCAGCCAGGCAGCTCGAGGTGTTTGTGAAGAAGGGGCTCGAGGCGGGCGTCGGGGTGCAGCCCGAGCAGGTGGCGCAGGTGTTGTATCAGGTGGCGGCCCGCGGCGAGAAGGTGCCGCTGTGGTTGCCGCTGAGCGGGACGGCCATCATGCTCATCACGGCCAAGCTGAACGGCAGACTGCAGGAGCTGGAGAGTAACAAGGAGTTGAGTGCGATTGATAAGGACCAGGCCCAGTTCAAGCTTAACTAGAATATCTGGTTTGCCTGTTGCCCTCGGGACCTATGTTGACACTCACTTATTTGGAGTGATGAAGCCGATGTAGAAGACTGGATACAAATACATGTTTCTCAATTTCAAGTCGCATTTTGACAGTGTTTCGCCGCTCGAATGAAAGGAACTTCAAAATATTCAATTAGTTTAGCGTTTGCTTGAAGGATACTGGAATTACCGACTTAGGCGGAGGGCCTGGCTTCTATACAGAATAGAGTACCACGTCCGGGGCACTTATACTTTCTCCATATCGGTGTTATATTCATAGACGGCATACTGAGCTACTCAGCGTAAATGGTGAAATTAGATCTGAAAATTGAACCGCCCCTATTGAAAGACATTTAGGGACATTTGAAGAGGTTGAAGGCTAATATTTTCTCGGTGTACCTAGACACTCGATTACATTGCCCAGTGAATATCCAGATCCGGGTCAACGCCAGTCTGAGGCAGGAGCCACGCCGCAACGGGACCGACCGGGTCGAGGCCGAGAATAACTCGGCGTAAGCGGGGATTTTGCCCCGGGAGTCAAGAGCGGTGAGGGCTTTTGACCACGATGGCCGAGCAGCACCACGTGACTATTTCTGCATAGCTTAGTCAGTGACCCTTGATCTGCGGTATAATTTCTTCATGTCCGCCATTCACAGGGCAGCAACGTCATTCTTCACCCCATACCACCTCAACAACACTGCTCAGGCGCATGAGAAGCTGCATGCTCGGGATTCATCTCATACAGCTCGGGCCAGACGCAAGAGCGACCACAAAACATGGCGCTTATTGCACCAAGCCCTTCTCTGCCCCGCGCACCTGGCCAGACAGCTCGAGCACTATGACGCATGCATGACTGAATGATGTGGTAGTCGGGGCCTGCCATATAAAACCGGGTTTCCACACTCGACTTTTCCTGGCGAGATTGTCAAACCACCTTCCTCGGGATAACGTAGATATCTCTCTCACACGTACCCTGAAAATCGAATCATGTCGTCGCAAATGGGCAAAGATGGCACCTTCCAGCCCCCGCAGGCAAAACAGGCTCAGAGCAAGCCGGGGTACGTTTCCACGTTTGCAAGCAATGGAGCACAGCAGGGGCTAACACTTCGGATAGTCTGGAGAAGGAGATGGCGCCATCCAGCGAGTCCACCAAGCTGGAAGGCAGCGAGGGCTTCGTCGAATACACCGGCTCCAACAAGCTCAAGGACAAGAAGGTCCTGATCACGGGCGGAGAGTGAGTCTTCCCACCGGTGTAACTGTGCCATACTGACCATCTGATCCAGCTCCGGAATTGGTCGGTCGGTCGCTGCATTGATGGCCCGCGAAGGGGCCGACATCACCATCGTATACCTGCCCGAGGAACAGGAAGATGCAGAACACACAAAGAAACTGGTCGAGAAGGAAGGGCGCAGTTGTCTTCTGGTCCCGGGCGACTTGCGGAAGAATGAAACGTGCAAGAAGGCGGTGGAGGAACATGTGAGCAAGTATGCTGGCCTCAGTCTTGTCTTCCTCAGAGTACGGGACTAACACAGCTGACCTGCTCCTGTAGGTTCAAGCACATCAACGTTCTCGTGAACAACGCATCGAAGCAGTACATGTGCAAGGATCTGGCTGAGATTGATCTCGACAAAGTCGAGGACACCTTCCGCACCAATATCTTGCAGATGATTGCCATCACCAAATATGCACTCCCGCATATGTCCAAGGGAGATTCGTTAGTTTCCCATCGCAACTGCACGATTCTGGCAGGCTAACCCATCCTCCGCAGGATTATCAACAACACATCCGTCACCACCTTCCGCGGCTCTGGCACGATGGTCGATTACGCATCAACCAAGGGAGCGATCGTGGGCTTTACCCGGTCGTTGGCCCTGCAACTCATGCCTAAGGGCATTCGGGTCAACGCGGTCGCGTACGTTCTGCCCCTACTATTTCACAGATGTCATCCGTCCTCTGACTAATAGTGGCGACAGACCCGGTTCCGTATACACTCCCATTCAGATTGACACAAGAGATGCCGAGTCCATGGAGGGCTGGGCGTCCGGCAAGCCGCTGGGCCGTCCGGGACAGCCCTCCGAGGTGGCGACGAGCTTTGTATTCTTGGCTAGCAAGGATGCGTCTTTCTATTGTAAGTGACTCTGGTTCCTTGTTCTATGAAGGTTCGGGGCTGTTACTAATGTCATTGCAGCGGGACAAGTTCTGCATTGCTACCCTCTGGGAGAGTAGCGGCAGACATAACTGGATGAATTGAGATGTGTATTTTGATGAAATGAGAATAATCAATACGGAATAATGATTTCATACATAAGGTAGCACCGTGAATTATAAATCTATACCATAGGGAACTATAAAATCTTATCTTTCCTAGCAGACTCCGTGAATTAGGCGAAACTTTGTCCATCAGCCCGTTCTGTTATATATTGCTCGGACCGATCAAGCTGAGCCCCCAGCGCTTTCTGCAGGGGCTTAATACAGCAACCAATCATCTCAAAGTCAACTTTATACTGACCTAAGAATTTGTGAATGCTATGTATGCACACAAATTATCTTCTCGTATCGCCAATGTCTACAACCTCTTTTCTACTGTGCTTAGCAGGCTACCCGATGGCAATCATATCTGATCCTGCTGCCGGTGAAAAGACAAGCATATCTGACGCATCACTTCCTTTTCCCGCCAGGCTCGGGCAGAGTGAGTCGTGATGCCAAGTCGGGAGTCCTGCAGCGGGCGCTTGTCCCGAAATCGGAACCCTGTGTGGCGTGCCATGTGCCAGGTAGTGCGTGGGGCAGGTTGCAGTGCTTGTCAGCCTCAGTGTTTCAGGATGTTAGTTCTGCGGTTGGTGTTCTTCACCTGGTGAGAAGAAATATCACCAAACCGGCAGAGATTGTGTGCCCAATTTCAAAAAGCACAGTAAGGGGCGTCTGATGTAGGATTCTCCCCGAACCGGTGACATTGGCACAGCGACAGCGAATAGGGAGAACCTGCCTCCGGACCAAGTGCCAATTTACGTGATTCTTCGACCTGTAGAGCCCATTCGTGTCCTGGTGGGGATTGACTATGCAAAATCGGGCAGGACCCCTGGCATGAGTCTTCTGCAGGCACCTCCTTTCTTTCCGGCACAACGCGGATACCACTTCCTCAGCGCCAGTCCACTCATCTCGATCGATGCTTGTCTAGTGATTGACCCAGGGGATGCAGTGGGGCCAGGCTCGTATGCACGGGCCAGACGAATATCTGAGGCTCTGCATCGATTAGTCACCCGACCATCTTGAGTTAAACAACTCGCCATGGCTGCGTCGATTCAAGCTCCGGGCAGGGTATCATCCGGTGCTGCCAGGAGCCCGTTGGCGCTCAGGGGGCTTCATCTCGAGGATATTGACAGGCGGGTGGTAATTTCAACACGAAGTCTTAGATTGTGGGTGTCTCACTGCAGCCCAACGGGGGAGCAGGAGGCCTGAACTAAGTGGGGCCCGCAGACTAATCACGAATTATGAATGTGACTAAACTCATACAGCTAACTATGCACAAATTTCAGAACAATCCAACGGGATCCAACGGGGGAGCTGAAGGGGTCAACGCAGTGGGGCAGGCATATACTAATCATGATCGTACCTTACTAGAACCAGACCGGACTCTCTGACTAGGCACAAATTCAGACTAAAGCCCGGTTCAGCCTCGAACTGGCTTGTCGACATTGATTGGCGCTCTTCCAGTCCAATCCGCACGGCTCCACGCTAGTCCGCACGCGATCTCAGGGCTAATGAAGAAAACACCATCTGAAGAACCCTCACGGTCATTAACCGAGATTGCAATGTCGCATTGCTCCAATCTCTGGGATGGATGAGCTGACCACCATGGCGATTCTGCGTTCCGTGAGAACTTCAGCTTGCCTGCAAAGGGAAACTGGTCGTATCGTCCTTCAGCTGAGATGGACCCTGGATGGACCCTAGATGGACCCTCCACGAGCCCTCAACGAACAGTACCGGTAGGGCTGCGAGTATATAACCTGCATCCTCAACCCCATGAGTTCAGATGGGAGCCAGGGTCACTCACTGTCATTCTTTTTACCCCAGTCCTTCGTTCATCATGGCCAAGCTCAGCTGGCTTCTGACCTCTAGTCTTTCTTTTGCCTGTCTTTCCACAGCACTTCCTGCTGGCTCTCTTTTGAAATCGCAACCTCAGTCTTTTATCTCTCCTACTAACTACAGTTCTTTCGATGTCGACCAGTGGATTCCTTCAGCGGACTATGTTCCGGTCAAGGCAGGCGTTCCTTTTCTGATTCAGAACAAGACCGCGCAGCCCTGGAACCCAGTCTCCCCTCACTCGCACGGGGGCAACCTCACTTATCCCCACCAGAAGCGAGCCAGCTGCGGCGGTCCCACCCCGGACAGCCCCAGCACCTTCTGGTATGAGAGTATCACTCATAACGGCGAATCCTCCTTCCTCGACTCCTCCTACAAGGCCAACTACAAGGTCTTCCGCAACGTCGTCACCGACTATGGCGCCGACAACACCGGTGCCACCGATGCCTCTACCGCCATCCAGAATGCCATCAAAGGTACGTTTCCTGTGATGCAACGACTTATGCAACGTACTGATCTTCAGATAGCCGGAGCCTCCAACGGCCCTGACCGCAGCAGCGGCTCCATGGGCACCACCGGCCAGCCGGCCGTGGTATACCTGCCCGCCGGCACGTACCGACTCGACAGCCCCCTGCAGCTCTACGTTGGCACCGTCTTTGTGGGAGACGCTCTGAATCCGCCCACCCTCAAGGCCAGCGCCAACTTCCCTACCGACCACATTATCTACGGAAAGGATCCCAAGTTGGGCGGAACCATTAACTTCTACATCGCGTTCAAGAACGTGATTATCGACTCGACCAGTGTTTCCACCTCGACTGCCATCACCTTGCTGGATTGGACCGTCTCGCAGGCGACCCAGCTGACCAACGTGGTCTTCAACATGCCCGACAACTCGAACCACGTGGGTGTGACGAGTCAGTATGATTCGAACAGTAACATCATCCTGGTGCGTCCCACCACCGATCTAACCCTAATGCCCCCAAGGCTGACCATCCTCTGCGCAGAATGACCTGACCTTCTACGGCGGTGCCATCGCCATGGAGCTGAGCGGCCAGCAGTGGATCCTCAAGGGCATCAACATCAACGGCGCCAACGTCGGTATCAAGGCCGGGGCCTTCGAGCTCGTCTGCCAGGACTGCACGCTCCAGAACGGCGCCACCGGTATCGACGCCAGCAGCATCTCCGGCTCCCTGACGGTGATCGACTCCACGGCCAACTACCTGGGCAACATGATCATCTCCTCCAACGCCGGCGGCAGCGCCCAGAACTCCATCATCCTCGACAACGTCGCCTGCACCAACAGCGGCAGCACCGTCTCGCTCAACGGCAACGCCGTCCTGACCGGCTCCGTCACCAACACCTGGGTCCACGGCAACCTGTACTCCGGCGGTGCAACCACCCCGGCCTACGAGCAGGGGCTGAGCGTGACCACCGCGCGCGCCGACGTCCTCCTCGACTCCAACGGCAAATACTTCACCATGGCCCCGCCCACCTACTCCCAGTACTCGGCCAGCCAGTTCATCAACATCAAGAGCGTCTCCGGACTCCCCGTGTACGGCGACGGCGCCACAGACGACACCGCCAACATCAACGCCATCCTGGCCCAGTACGCCGGCTGCAAGATCATCTACTTCCCCGCCGGGACCTACATCGTCACCGACACCATCCTGATCCCCTCGGGCTCCATCATCATCGGCGACGCCTACGCCTCCGCCATCAGCGCCACGGGCGGCAACTTCTACAACCCCGATGCCCCCACGACCATGGTCCAGGTCGGTAACTCCGGCGACGTGGGCACCGCCCAGATTTCGGATATGCTCTTCACCGTCGCGGACGTGCTGCAGGGCTGCAAGCTGGTCGAGGTCAACATCGCCGGCTCGACGCCGGGAGCCGTGGGACTGTGGAACTCGCACTTCCGCATCGGTGGCGCCGCCGGCAGCAAGGTCCAGACCAACTGCTACGGCAACCCGGACATCTGCAAGGCCGCATGGGGCCTGATCCACCTGACGGCGACCTCCTCGGCCTACATCGAGAACATGTGGGGCTGGACGGCCGACCACAACCTGGATGGCAACCTGGAATCGACCACCGTCTCGACCGGCCGCGGCATGCTCGTCGAGGCCACCAAGGGCACCTGGCTCGTCGGTACCGCCATGGAGCACAACACCCTGTACCAGTACAACTTCGAGTACGCCTCCAACGTCCTCAGCAGCTTCCAGCAGAGCGAGACCCCCTACTGGCAGGGCTGGGGCGCCCCCAGCTCCGGCATCGCCCCCGCCCCCTGGACCGACAACCTCATCGCCAGCGATCCCACCTTCAGCGAATGCGACGCCGATGACGTCGGCTGCCGCATGGCCTTCTTTGAGCGCATCCGCGGATCGAGCAATTTGTTCCTGTACGGCGGCGGTGTCTGGGTCTTCTTCAACCACGGCGGCAGCTGCACGGGCGACTGCCAGGCGAATGCGATTCGCATTCTGTCCAGCGAGGGCAGCGTCTATCTGTACGGCACGAACGTCAAGGCCATCACCAATATCGTGAAGGAGAACAAGGTCGACGCGGCGCTGGAGAGTGCTAACCAGGGTGGTTGGGGTGGTGTCGTGGCGGCCTATCTTCACAGTGCGGATGGCGCGACCTCCTCGGGTGGTAGCAGCAGCAGTGGTAGTAGCGGCAGCAGCGGCAGCAGTGGCAGCAGCAGCAGCAATGGACCTGCGGTGACCGGCAATGGGCTCAACTGGTATAGTTCGTCGTTGACCGACGGCGCCACAGCCTACGAGGACCCCGAGTACTACTACTGCTTTGGCGGAGCCGCGGCCAACTTCCCCCCGTTCGCGAACTGGATGGGCTTCACCGAGATGTTCGACCTGAACCAGCAGACCTCGATGGCATTGGTCGAAGACGGTCCCATCCAGGGTGATATCTGGAACGCTATTGTGCAGGTCTCGGCTGATGCAAAGGTTGATCCGAGATTGGTTCTGGCTGTTGTTATGCAGGAGGTAAGTTGTCTCTCAGGGCTTCCATTTGTAGCGTGATTACTAACCGAGTTTCCTCACAATTAGTCCAGCGGCAACGTCTACGTCGGCTGCACCAACAACGGGGTCGAGAACTGCGGCCTGATGCAGGCCTACGCCGGCTCCACCTCTTTCGACGCCAGCGACCCGCAGGGCAGCATCACTCAGATGATTGTCGACGGCACGCAGGGCACCGCCGCCGGCGGAGGTCTCGTCCAGTGGTTCAACGACGACAATGTCGGTGCCAACACAGGCGGAAACCCGTACAATGTGCTGCGTGGCTACAACTCGGGCAGCATCAACTTCAACGATCTGGATGATCCCCAGGATGCTACCGGGTCGTACGTCAGTGATATCGCCAATCGCTTGCAGGTGAGCTTTCTTCCGTGGTAATTTAGGACTGTTTGAGCTATGGCTAATGTTTCTTGTAGGGATGGAACGGAAATGATGGACACGGATACCGGGCTGCTTGTGGATGGTGATAGCGCGGCTGGATAATGACCACGGTTTAGTCCCGTACCCTTGCAACGTCTGAGCGTCGACGGCTTGTTCTCTGGAATGATCCGCGGAGCAAGAGCGATTCTCTAGGATATGCCCAGACACGCAAGAGAGAGGCAGCTACTTGCGGGTTGATAAGTAAAACAAATATAAAAAGTTGTATATTACCTTGTTCAGTATGGGAACCTCGACCTGTCCTGGAACAGCATTCAGGCCGACAAGCTCATTTGTAATCAGTCATCAGCCAAAGCATGCGTATTCGCTGTTAATCGGGGCTGAACACCGCGGCTATGCTTTTCGTAGACCGATCACTGTTGACAGTGTTGTGCTCCTGGTTAGTCTGGATGTAGGGATTGCAATCTCATCGGTCTAGGCCTATCCTAGTCCCCGCCGTCAAGGTAGCGTAGAACCATGCGCACTAAGCCCGCAGAGCCCGGCGAGAAAGTATGAACCCCGCAGGACCAGAGCAAGATTGCCAGTGCTCATGCCAGGCTAGAGTTCGCCTTCAAGCAAGCCCGGATTCCGCCGGCCTTTGCCTCTCCACTGATCAGGTATCGGAGCAAGCGCTGCAGGTTCTGTGTAAATTCAACCCAGTCTTGCTTGCGAAAGATATCGTAGCCGTGCGAGAAGATCGTGAATTGGTACAGCATAGATCGGAAAACATCGCTCTCAAGGGGGAGGGGCCAATCGTGGTCGTGGTCGCGGTCAAAACCAGCAACGTCCACCTGCTCAAAAACCCCAGGCAGAAAGAGTTCTATCCGGGCAGAGCTTAGTGGTGAGTTTCTTCGTGTGTAGACCGGAGGGTGGCTGGTATCCTTACTCTCTTCTTCGGCGGGGGAAACTGTGCTAGGGATGAGGCTAGCGACGTCAACGATCTGCGCGGTAACAGTGACTGACATGGTGCGGAGGAGAGTGATGAGGGCAACGATGAAAGAGCAGAGCAAGGATAGAAAGCATATTCTCAAGGAGGTTGGACGTGGACGTGGATGGCAGCGAGCATGAGGTGAGGCGAGGCGAGGCGAGGCGCGACGCGAATCTGGGCTGTTGCTGGAGTATGGAAGTGGAGTTGGAGTGCAAGTGCCCAGTGCAGTGGAGTAGATCGCGGGCGCCTGCTACGGAGTACCGCCGGGGGTGGAAAAACCCCCCGGAGTAAGGGGCGACGATACCATGTGACTCGTATCACGTGATCCTGCGTGATCTCCAGTCACGGGCTCACGGTTGCAATCGGCCTAGCCCAAAGGAGCCTAGCCTGGCGGAAATTCCCGTCCACCCAAGATGGGCGATCCACCCTCCGAATATCGGCCCTCCCAGCATAGGATCAACTGACTCTGGAGAGTTAGAGAACTTGAATACAATATCGATATACACGCCAAACATCCATGATGCTTGAAAACATGCTTAACCAGAGACGGATTGCCACAACCATAAGACCGTCAACTAAGATAAGTAGTCAGAGTCCTTGGTTTGGTGGCATCAGGACCCACAAACCAGCCCCACAATACCAGCCCCTATTCATTCGAAGTGCACCAAAAACACCTTCCAATTTATTCGGAGCCTCGTGACCCACTGTATGAACAAGTTCCGTGGTACGTATCCTGTCAATGTAGAGGATATGGAAAGAAAGGGAAAGAGTATAGTCAAATGCCGCCAAGGAGACAGAATAGAACCATCGGAGAATGACTCAAGAAGTAATAAAGAACACCATCATCCCTCGGCCATGAGCCGGAGGGCAGTAAGGCTCGAGACAACGGCTCGTCTGAGCACCGGTCAACCCTCTAACCGTCATGTTCCACCACGCAGTATTGTCCTAACCGCACCTAGAGCTCCCAACTATCGATGGATCCTTGCCACGTGGGGCTGGGGAAAGGAATTCTGGGCGCTACCGCTAGCCCCCAGCTCGCCCAGCGCATGGGACTGAAAGGCAGGTCGATATCGTTTGGTCTCAGAGGCAGGCAGTTGAGCCAACCGACGAAGTAACTTGAGGTGAGATCAGTATCTAAAGCGCGCAATCGAGTAAAGGAAGGTCACCCACAGTCTCCGGTCAGTTCCGTCCCAAACAAGGTTCTGGGTCGCTCCTATATAGGGTATATACCCGCACGAACAGAGAGCCCTGCAACGATATCAGCACCCAAAGCACCGAGACGAAAAGATGAGAAGCTTGCTCATACGGAAGCTTGTCTCTGAATTCAGCTCGGATCAGATCTCGCTCTTCACGAGGCAAGTTCCAAAAAGTCTGCGAGCCGAGGTCATCGCCCAGGCGGATTCCTGGCACAATGCTCCAGACGATGGTGTATACGAATTCCCCCCCCGGGACACGGTCCCCGTCCCCTTGTTGCTCCGTCCTACTGTCGAGGAGGGTTGGAGTGCAACCTGGGCTTTGGTGCAGGAGCGAAAATCGCTGAAAGGCCTTCACCTCGGTGGGCACCTGCGGTTTGGCCTGCCGGGCGATTTCCTCCGCGGTGTTGAACTCCGATCCTAGGATGGGGATCTGCTTGTACACGCGCATAAAGGCCTCTTCTTGAGGGCCCTGTTGGACCTTCTGCACACGGAACCTGGCACAGACATACGGGCGTATGTCGAAGGTCTCTGCATCCTCGCGGTCAAATGGGAAGACGTGTTCGTTGACCTTGGACACAATTCTCCACCTGGATCGGTCCAGGTGAGTTTGTGTGCCCACTCCGTGTGCCGCCGTACCGAAGGAGGTTATACTTGCCATCGAACGACAGGATGTGATCCGAGCGTACGACACAAGGATCCGGGCTACCAGTGACGATCGAGGATTGACAGTGAGAGATGAAATGAGAGGAAATTCTTGCATTTACCCACAATAGAAGAGAATGAACCTGCGGGCGGAAAGAGGAGAGGAAGGATGGAGTGACGACGGAGAGAGGGGGGGGGGGGGGGGAGATACAAGCCACACGGAAGAAAGATCCGTGGATCGAGTCACTATTTTGACCACTTCACAATGATGCAGTGGATCAAGGTCTCGACAAGAGATATAGTATACTAGGGCCTTGGTCTCATAACAGTAAGAATAGGTGAATCATGGAGTGTAGCCAACTCATTTATATAGCCAACTTGCTTCTTATTATCTCGGTGATGATACATTCAATATTCTATCTTCTCGTCAACTGGGTATACAAAAGTCACCACAACAGATTCCGTGCTACCCGCAAATATAACTATCACCACTCTAGCATGTTGGATGTCCGAGTTCCAAGGAACTATCATGTTGAACTGCAGCCGAAAAACGCAGAACCGCCCTCTCCCTTCTACCCCTCTCCCCCATACCATAACTACCACAAATCCAGCCCTCAGAACAGCACCCTCACCCCCTGTTCAAAGATTCTCAAGCTTAACCCTCGACAACCTTGACCTGCAAGATATACGGATCCTGGGTGTTGAAATTGATTGTGTGCACGCCGCGGGTGAAGACCGTGAGGTAATACTCGTCCGTCGTTTCATAAAACACGTAGGTGCTGCCGAACGACCCTTGCACCTCGGCCACGTTGATGTCCAGCTGGTACGTGTAGAAGATCCCGTCCGCTTTGGTGAACCGATACTTGTCGATGCCAGTCTCGCGCGCGAACACCGTGTCGGTCGCCACCCAGGTGCCGGCCACCGGCCAGCCGGCGTTGTAGGTGCCGGATTTCGCGGCGCTGATGAGTTGGAGGAGGCTGAGGAAGAGGAGGAGGAGGATGTTCATTTTGGTATCTTGGTATTTTGGGGTTATTCCCTGGTTGGATTGGTTGTTTCGTTGCAGTGAGGCAGTGAGGGAGGAGAGGATAGTAGTAGTAGTAGTAGTTGCTGTTGTTAAGGAGTAGAGTTGGGAATGGACTGTGAGGGGATTTGTATTCTTCTTCAACACGGTTGTCGGGCCATTCGGCGGGCAGGCTCGATGTCACTATTGTGTGATGTCTACCCCAGCTGTATTGAGCTTTCAGCTCCCAGCACATCACTGCTGCTCTGGGAGGGCCACACAGCTGATGCATGCTTCATCACAGCGCCAGGTCAATGCGGGCAATGCCGATCGCGTGAACGCCGCTCCGAATGATGCGGTGCTCGGCCGATCAGCGGGGCGATCCTCACCGCGTGTGCCTCATTGGTCGAGGCTGATGTTGCATTGCAGCTCCGCTGTATGCAATGCAGATTAATAGATTGTTTCCCGAGAGATCCCCATCATCGTCACATCATTGTGTGCAATTTGGATGATAGAATGAGCGGTGCCAGGAAGCTGAAAGAAAAGGGGGCTCCTGGGGGTTTTCCCCCGAGGTTGCTTATTCCGGTTTTCTGGTGTAGATGCATGTTAGCACGAGTGGCTTTTAGTGCTGCGACGTATAAAATCGCTGGAGGAACCAGATGAAAGAGGAATGCCCCGTGGTTTGTGGCGGATCGGATCGAGCCTGCTGGGCGGAGGGGAAGAGAGGGGTCTGGCCTCATCGCTACCCAGTAGTTTTCCTTTCCAAGCTCCTTGATTAACTCACTTACTTAGGCTGAATAAGTCCAAATTGCTTTCACTCACATTCGCCGAATCTCTGCTACAGAGGATGACGTAAAGACCGAAAGGTGATGCAGCGGAGGTCGTCTCCAGAGCTTATGCCTCATACGCTCTAGTAGTCATAGTCTGGATCGGCATCGATTCATTAGTGGGGTGATGAGAGCTGAAAGAAAGAGGCCGAGGAGCAACCTGTCGGCGAATAACAACTATCAAACTTCACAAGCAGTGATCCACCATGGTGGTGTCTACTGCACTGAGCTTTTCCTTTAATAACAACGCCCATATGACCGCCACTCAGCCTTTCGACCTTCGTGTTCCACCACTCAGTATTATTCCTACCGAGCATCCCTAGAATCTCCAATCACGAGTAGATCCTTGCCACGATGGGCCAGCGAAGGGTATGTGGGGTGTCCGAGCAAGGCCCCAGCCTGCCCAGAGGATCGGGCTCCAAGGCTTGCTGCGTTCATCGGAAGTCAATCGGATGCAGTTGAACCAACCAACAAAGTAACTAGTTAGAATTAGTAATCTCTATCAAACCAGAAGCCGGGGAGTAAGGGGTTCACAAACAGTTTGGGTGCAGATGCATCCCAAACGAGGTTTTCAGCCGTCCCTGTCGCGGGTTCATACCCAGTAGAACGGAGAGCCCTAGAACTAGAGCATCAAAAGTAATGCAGACGGCAGGTGTAACGAAGCCACAGCAAAACTTACGGGAGAGTACGCTGAAAGGCATCGCGAATGAGGTCTCGCTCTGCACGGGCAAGGCTCCAGAACACTTTTGCACTGCAGGCGTCTCCAAGGCGGATTCCCGGAACGATGTTCCAGACAATGGTGTGAATATAGCCACCCGGAACACGGTCCGCATTTCCTTGCTGTTCCTGCTTACTATCAAGCAGGCTTGGAGTGCAAGTTAACATTCTGTCTCGAAAATTGCTGGAAGGCAGCCACTTCTAGGGGGATATGCTGTCTGGCCTGCCGAGCACGTTCCCGAGTGCTCTGCGACTCTGTTCCCACAATGAAGATTTGTTTATAGACCCGCATCAAAGCCTGCTGAGTAGGCTGAGTAGCGTCACGGTGATGCCTTTGTACAAAAACGCGAGCACAAGCATATGGACGAGCATCGAAGTTAGCTGCGTCCTCAGGTTCCCCGGGGGCGCCGTGCTCGTTAATGTGGGATAAGATAGTCCATTCGGCAGTGTTCAAGCGGAGTCGCGCACCCGCTGCATATTCAGCTTCAGCATTAGCAAAGTAGGCTGGCTGCGTCATCGTGACAACGAAGAAGTGGCAGTGATCTGTGGAGTAGTAGTGGCAAGCACGCCTGGTAATTCGAGATAGTGCGAACTACCGGTGAGACGCAAGTAGAGACTGAATTTGTAAGACTGATTGGAGGGTGAAATAATGATGATGAGAAGGGGGAAGCTGTAAAGGAGGAGACAACTATAATGGTGATGAAGGCAGGGGAGAAAGGGAGAGAAGGGGGAAAGGTTTAGGCCACACGGAAGAGAAACCCGTGGGATCAGCTGGCCTCTTTGCTGGCAATGTTCATAATTGGACTCTTTTGAGTAGTAGGAGGGAAAAATAAAATAATGGACAATGCATCAAGATAAGGCGTGTATAAGTCACCCCCACAACCTATAATCTATGGTGAATCACGTGATACAAATGACCACCCCCTTCGACTCTACTCCTCATGCGACCGCTGGTCCCCATTCAATGAGACCTCGTAATCTTGTCCCCGGCTGCCACTTTTCGACGAGGGCTCCAGCTGTGTCAACGGCAATTCGCTCTCGGTGTCGCGCATGCGCTGGAACGCCCGCGCGGATGCCCCGGACTGCGCCCCCGTCTGGGACGAGTACGCCGCCTTGGCCGACGAGAAGACACCGGGAAAGGCGGCCTTGAAAACCGGACGCATCATGGGGACGCAGGCGTTGAGGATGGCGAGAGCAGGTTCAGCGACACTCCAGAAGGCCGCCCAGATCATGCTATAAGAAAGGTCGGCAAAGTCGACGGTTGTGAGGACGCGGATGCGGATGATGGTGATGGCGGAAATGCTGGCATTTCTGTCAATCCTCCGGTCTTTGATGACGGTTTGAGGGGCAGGGCGGGCGACTCACAATAATCCCATTCCGAATATACCATACAATGCCAGCTTTGTGGCCGTCGAGGTCTGCAGCTTCCAGATGTGATGCACAGGCAGGGCCATGATGACCAGATCGGTGACGAGATTGAAAGCGCCAATCGTCGAGAATGCCACGTTCATGCTCGCGCAGTGACCGTGGAGCGTCGAGTTCCAGTTCTTCTCAAAGGGCTGGCAGATCAGGAAAATTTGGAGCATGCTGCCCACCCAGTAGGCCGCTGCACAGCCCATGCACACCCGCGCGGCGATGCGGAACCCGCGCGTGACGAAGATGCGAAGGTAGAAGAAGAGATAGGAGAATTTGGCGAGGACCATGCAGTTGTAGTAGATGATTTGGTAGACGATAAGCATCTGTGCTCGTCAGTGACCGATGCCATTGCCCGGAACCGGATGTAGAACCCACTTTGAAGATGAGAATGGCGTTCTCGGCGGGAATGGCGATGATGTGGTGGCGCATTCCCACGCGTGCATAGTGGTAGTGCATCGCTAGCATACCATAAGTGTTGAGCTAATCAGGACCCCAGCTGTCAGTTCGCATGTCCATCATCGATTTCTCGAGGCCCTCGTACCATCGACCCGACGATACAGACATCGTCCCACCAGATCTTGCTGCGTCGGATTCGCCGCGAGACGAAGCGCAGCACGATCGCCAATGTGCTCACGGCCACCAGCACCGTGTTGGCGATGAGCTGGTCGCGCACTATGGCATATTCGAAGACATTGTAGAACTGCATGGCCATGCGAACACCTGGGTGCCATGCATGATGGGAGACTTGCAAGACAGAAGGAAATTCAATCCCATCGCGACCAGGAGTCGTGCGGCAATTCGGTACTTGAACAGAATCCGCGAAACGCACGTGCAAAAATAACCCAACAATGGGAGGGGGGCCAGACACCGATGATCATTGCGTTTTGCATCGCTTCTTGTCACAACAAGCGAAATCCACGGACATCCACCGAGGACGGTTCGGTCCTGCGAGTCAGCCAAGTGGAGCCCGGCATTGGCGGATTGTCGCATGGCACAACGGTTTTTGGCAGAGATTGGCGTGGCTAAACATGGCTAGAGATGGCTAGACATGTCAAGGGGCAGAGCCAAAACCACCGGCGCTGTCAACCATGTGGATCGTCCGCTTGTCCCGCAGCCAATCCCAACCCTAACAACCAAAGGCGTTGCCCAGCGTTGCCCAGCTCCACAACGCCATGTCAATCTCAATTCCAATTCTGTCTGCAGCCCGTGACAGCGCCCCATTTTTCTTGATCCTGCACCTGCCTGCACTTGCCTGCTCGGGCTTTGTTCGCCCCTTAGTCTCGGCGACTTAGCAGTTATTTCATGCCGCTCCCCTGCAGCGGTTCCTCTCCCTCGGGCTTTCCTTCCAAACGAACCGCAAGCTGATTTCTCGACAATAATGACTGCCGCTAAATCCTATGACTACGTGGTTGTCGGAGCGGGGACCAGCGGGCTGGTCCTCGCCTCCCGACTCACTGAGGACGCCGACGTCAACGTGCTCCTGATTGAGGCCGGAGCCAACCGCATGGGCGATCCGCGCATCGAAACCCCTGGCTTTTTGAGCACGTTGTATGGAAACCCTGACTTCGATTGGGATTATATGAGTGAGCCGCAGGTGCGTAGCGGTACATTGTCTCTGTTGCGTTTCTGTTTGTGAACATACTGACCATGTAGGCAGGTCCATGTGAATAACCGCCAGATCGCCCAGCCGCGCGGTCGGGTGGTAGGGGGCACGTCGGCCATGAACTTTTCGGTGGTGATGTACCCCTCAGAAAGCAATTTCGCGGCCTGGAAGTCGTTGGGCAACGAGGGCTGGGGCCCCGAGGACATGGCGCCCTATCTCCGCAAGTTCCACACCTACACGCCTCCGTCAGAGGCGACGTCGACCTTGCTATCGCTGGAGCGCTACATGAGCCCGGAGAACCAGGGTACCAGCGGACCGGTTCCCATCACCCTACCGGATGTCTATGGGCCGTTCAACCAGGCCTGGGACGAGGCCTTTGCCCGGCTGGGCTGGCGCACAGATGCGGATCCTATCGCCGGTCGCAAGATTGGCGCTTTCACCGCACCGTTGACGGTTGATGGAAAGACTGGTCAGCGCGGATATGCGGCAGCGTACTACTCGCCAGAGGTAGCGCAGCGGCCGAATTTGGACTTATTGACTAACACGATGGTGGAACGGGTGTTGCTAACTGAGGTGGAAGGGGAAGTAGTCGCGACCGGTGTGCAAGTTAGAGCCAAGGACGGTGAGCGTCAGGAGATTCCTGCTGCACGAGAAGTCATTCTTTGTGCGGGAAGCATGAATACCCCCCAACTGCTGGAGTTGTCCGGCATCGGCCAGCGCGAGTTGCTGGAGAAGCACGACATTCCAGTCATTCTCGACCGCCCCGGCGTGGGAGAGAATCTGCAGGATCACTGTTTGGCAAGTATCAACTTTGAAGTAGCAGACGACCAAGTGTCCGGCGATATCATGCGAGACCCGAACGTAGTGCAGTCCTTGATTCAGCTCTACGAGCAAACGCGCGGGGGGCCTTTGTCCGGCATGCCCATCAGTATGGCATATCTGCCTCTGGTTGACCACGATGGCCAGCTCTCCCGCGAAAAAGTCCACGAGTTGCTCGACCAGCATCTCGGCCAGCAGGCGGCGGATCTCTCACCCGCGCTGCAGAAACAGTTCGCACTGCAGCGGGAGCTGCTCCAGGCAGGTCACAATGCCTCCTCGCAGTACATGCTCATGCCAATTCAGACGCATATGCTCCCCGGCGCCACGACGCTCGCTGACGTCCTGGCCAAGTCGCTGCCGGGCAACTATCTCACTGTGATGGTTCTGCACAACCACCCCTTTTCGCGCGGCTCGGTGCACATCCGCTCAGGGAATGTGGAGGACAAGCCCGTCTTTGATCCGAACTACCTCTCTCACCCGCTGGATCTCGAAATCTTGGCGCGACACGTCCAGTTCCTGGATCAAATCGTCGCGACGGAGCCGCTTGCAAGCATGCTGAAGCCCCAGTCTCGGATTCCCCAGGGGGTCGTCGATTATAGCGACCTCGAGAAGACCAAAGAGGTGGTCAAGGAGCGCCTGTACACCTGCTTCCATCCGGCGGGCACCTGCGCCATGATGCCGGCGGAACTGGGAGGTGTGGTCGACTCGCAGCTCAAAGTCCACGGAACGCGAAACCTGCGCGTGGTCGATGCCAGTATCTTTCCCTTAGAACCGGCTGGGAATATCCAGGCCACCGTTTATGCGGTGGCTGAACGCGCGGCCGACTTGATCCGGACGCACTGAATACTGAAAACAATGTACATATTATAAGACTTAATCCGCCAAGGAAACGAGACCCATAGATGAACTGGTTGTATGATGTCCGTGAATGGAAAATGAGCTGTCTTGGCTACGGAGCTTCGGACGCGGCCCGTTGCGACCGGGCAGTAGGTTTATTGCGATCATCCATGAGAATCCTTCGACGCCCTCATTCCTAGTTCTGCCTAGTCGCTGGCTTGGTGCCTTGTAGTCTCCACTGCACACAGGCACACAACTGGTAGAGGGTGGACAGGATGGGTGTGGCGACACCTCTCCTCTGTGCCTCGCGAATTACCTCGCCCATGATCACTTCGTGCTCCAAGAAGTTGCCCTAGCAATCAATGAGCCGATGTCTACTTCACTTGCAGGCTCGATAACTCACCTTTGCCATATCCTTCTGCATGCTAGGGTAGATCTTCCTCTCCGGGGGATTCTTCGCGAGTGTTGTCGCGATGGTTTCTTGAGGGAGGTCAATGCCGGCTGCGTGTGCGACCGTGAGAACCTCGGTCATAGCAGGAATGAGCAAAGTGTTCAGCGCGTTGCCGGCAATCTGAAGATCACCGGTGCTCAGCCCCGTCAGCGCAGAGATGGGATTGAAGGCTGCGTTGTAGACCAGCTTGCGCCACCGCTCTCGCTGCACGTTCGGTTCGTGATAGCAGTTAGTCTTTCCTCCAGCGCTGTATATTTCCACGAAGTGCATCGCCGCATTTGTTTGGGCATCGACTGGGTCAGGAGGACCACAGAAGGCACCGATTTGCAGGTTGTCATGGTCGATTTGTTCGATCACGCCCGGGGCGATTTCGTGCGCGTCGTTGCGGCTGATGCCTGAGAGGATGATGTTGGCCGAAAAGCGTTCAGCGAACGGCTTCTCAATGTTCAGCCCGTTCTGAATAAGGACGATGACGGTCTGCGCGGGAGTCACTGCCGGAGCGATGATGTCGCAGATGGAAGGGCCGATATCGGGGATGTTCTTGGTGGTGCAGACGATGTAATCATAAGGCGCCACGTCGCCGGCACCAGTCACGGGCACCGCATTGACAACTGAGTCTAGGATTAGTATCGTATCGCCGTCGAAGAACACAAGTTGGTAATCTATATACCAGAGGTTGGATGCCAGTTGCGGATGTGGCCATGATCACAGGAAAGGATCTCGAATCCCCGATCGGTGACGGTCTGGAAATTGGACCGAAGAACGGCGGTGACTTCGGCTTGGCCACCGCATTCCAGATTGAGGGCAGCAAGAGTGCCAATGCCTCCACTGCCCAACAGGAGTACGCGAGACTTTGCCATGGTGATGGTGGCACACGAAGGTTCTTTATGAAGGTTCATCAAGATCGGCTGCGGAGAGTGAGGGGAAACCGAGAGGTCACGTGGCGGGAGCGGGGGATGATCGGAGACTCGGAGAGTTGGAGAGTTGAAGAATGGCTTACCTCGGCTTGAAGTCCGAGGAGCGATGCAGGATGCGCAGATCCCGACTAGAAAACAGACCCGCAGAAAATGTCCAGTCGCGGATCCCAGAAACTTTCAATATCCCAGTCCAGCAAGGTATTGAAATTGTGGACCGGATCAAGCAAGTCTGGCACGCCGCTCGCGCCCGCAGGTGCATTCGCCGTCTCGCTCGGCGCAACTGACTCCCTCGATGTACCACAGCTAGGATCAATGATCTCATCCAGGATTCGGGTGAACTTGGCCTTGACTTGTTTGCAGAACTCGAAGTTCCCACTCCCCGGTCGGGCGACCCAACTGAGACACGAGACATACACCGTCAATTCCCTAATCAGCTCTGCCCGCGAGAAGCCCGGAACAGCCGTCAGTGGGGAAGTCGACGAGCGGTGCAGCATTTCAGTGCAGAGCAGCTGGACACTCGGAAGGCCGTATTGAAGGAACTGTTCCTTTGGTTAGTGTTCAGTCGCATCTTGTTGGATCAGTAGAATCATACAAGATGGGTGAAGTCGTTCCGAATCTCTCGGAGTCGCTCGCGTTCGTCATTGATCACGAGAATGGTGCTTAGAATGTCCTTCGCCACGATGAAAACATTCGTGGACCGGTCGCCGGAGATGAGTCGATGTAACAAGAAGATCGAATGCAGATAATCTAGATTCAGCGTAAGGAGGACCAGAAGTTGATGGCTGTGCATTAACGTGGGGGTATGCCACATGTCGACCGAGTACTTCATATGGCTTGGACAGGTATTCCACATGACCGCTAGCCTCTGGAGCACATCTCTAAACAATAATCAGTCGTCTGTCTGAACCCCAAGTGCCTCATCGGACATACTCAGCTTGCCTGACCAGATTGGCGCCGGTCACCCCCAGATGCAGCTCCAACACTTCCTCGCGGATCTTGGCAAGGAGAAGACGTAACCGTATGGTTGTGGCGGGTCGATGCTTTCTATCTACATTCCACCCGTGCTCGTCGATCGATCGAAGGCTTGACTCGTGCTCGTCGGGGTCGGGGTCCTCATCAAGATCCAACGGAGGTTCCAATATGCAATAGTGTCGATTCATCAGTGGCGGGCGACCGAGAGCCGTCGCGATGGTTTTGTCCATGGTGTACACCACTGCGAGACATGCCCTACGCCACTGATGGACGAAGACTGGCGCTTGCTCTAGCGGGACGTCGTTTCGATGCATGCCGGTCGCATATATACAGGAGCATAACTCTCCCAGCGACGAATACAACCTGCGACCTGTGTCCGTATTAGCCGCATGTTGTCGGTGTCATGCCGAGTCTGTGAACTGACTGGAATCGCCAAACCGGCTGACAGCAAGAAGCATCTGGTAGTATTTTAGAGATACGAGTAATTCGTTGACGAGCGGCAGGGCGTCGGTCAGAAGCGACAGATGCTCGGTGATCTCTAGGACCTGAGGCAGAATCTCACTCTTCCCGCGCTGCTGTGCGTCGATCAGTGTCACAGTGTGCTCGGGAATATGGATCAACGCCAGACTCGCGAGCGTGATGACAGCGCCTATCAGCTCCCACCGAAGATTGACTCCAGTAATAGCCTGGCACAGATCCGCCGCTCTCATCTGATGGGAGGTGGTGAGAGGTTTATAGGTGTTCTCGAAGATCCGAACCACCATGCGCAGACGGGCGGCATCCTCGGCCATGGAGTTCTGATCACAGATCTCCCAGAGGTGGCTCAGCGCCGGCAGCATAACTGTCCGCGGGATGATGGGCATACGACTCAGCCCATAGATGTGCTCAGTCAGACACTTGAGGAGGCGGGACTCTCGACCGAAGAAGTCCAGGATCCGCAACCCCAGCTCAAGTTGTCTCGGTTCGATGGTGTACTTGCCCAACTCCGAAGGCGAATCGGAGGCGCCTTGACTCTCCCTCAGGAGATATCGGTAGCTGGTGGGACCCAGAAAGCCGGTACTCTCCATCGAGGGGGTGTTGACGACGACTGGCTGGGCGGGCAAGGCATCACGACTGGTGGCCTCAGGCGACGAGTTCGCAGTGGCTCTGTGGCTGGACGTTTAGCTTCAGCTATCAGAGAAAAGGATAGAAGTCACTACTCACAGTGGAACGGAGGCAGAGTTCCGCGACCTCGCTTGGATGGGATCGGAACCACGGTGAAAGGGACGAAATGTTTTGGTCATTGGGGCGACCAGGTACACACAGGCAAGGTTCTTGGCGCTGCATCGGCCGCATTTGGGCCACACGTGGTCGCATCGTGTCTTGAGTTTGCGACATGGCTCGCAGGCTTGTCTTCGACCGTTCCGCCGTAGGGACTGAGGCGAAGGGGAGTCCATGTACGTGAAGGAGCTGGTCTGGACGACAAGATGAAAGGTTGGTGTTAGTTAAGTTAGCAGTGACGGTTTAGTCAGATGGAAGGAATTCGGCCCCGGATCGGATCTACGGCATCGGGTGCAGTAAGTCCGGATCACGTGCTCACGTCCCTCTTTCCACCTCATTCACCACATGGGTATGCTATCTGAAGCATTCGAATTGTATAGATGAAGTATCAATGTATTGAAAGTATGAGGGACAGCCAGTGAGTACCCCGTAGTGCAAATAGATGAGAGTACTAGATAGTTTGGTCTGATGTCAACTATAGTAGCAAATGATCAACTACTAAAAGGGGAAAACATATAATTTCGCCATCTACTTCGGATGTGAGTAAGACTAGTGGAAACTGATGCGACAACGTTTTTCAACACTCGACTGTTGGCCAGCCCCAGAAACATCATGGATATCTCTGAGCCGCTCTCTCCATCACAAGTCCAGCTGTCCAGAAAAGGAACCTGAAATTTTGTCCAGTAATATTGAGCGGCGAGCACCACCACGTGGATGCCTGAGGCTGAAGCAGCAAGGCTGACAGGCTAGCCCGATGGGGACGAGCATGTTTACAGGTGCCTAAAGATCCTCATGCCACCTTCATCTCAGACGCGAACAGGTCTAAACGGACTTTACGGATTAGTCTGAATACGAGCCCGAAAGACCCTGATGACTTGGCTTGAACCAAGATCCCCATCCGCCAAGGGTCTTGGGAACTAGCCCCAAGCTATTGACCTTACCACTCTACAGCCTGCGTACGTCGTTAATGTCAACACAGTATAAAAAGCCTCAAGTCTCTAGAAGATCACTTAAAGCTATGAGCTGAGCGAAAGATCTTATCTCGGCGCCCAGAAAGCACGATACAACTTGATCAACTTTCCTGCCGAGCAGCTGCATTCCGAGACACCACCCAACAAGAGCATCAGCCGGGCAGGGCTGAGATTCCACGCAGCGGCAAGCGTTGCCCCTTGCATAAGATACTGGACCCTGTCGGCTCGGAAGAGGAATTGCGCAACCGGAATCTGCCCTGAAGACGCGCCGATGCAGCTGTCGGGGGCCGAAGGGACGTTGGCCCCCAATTTTCGGGGCCGTTTGAGAGACATTCTGCTGCACCGGATACAACCTCGACCAGGCTCCAATTGCAGGCACTGTCTCGCGTTGTGCAACAGAGGTATAAAGACTGCAAGATGCGTCGCGGCCGAAGTTGAATTCATCACTCATTCACCTCATCTACCAGCTCCCAGCTTCACTGTCACTCTTTTACAGCTCCACTGCGTGGGTCACTGTCACTCTTCTCATTCCACTCCTTCAACTATCTTTTCTATACTCTTATCCAACTTCAACATGAAGCTCTCCATCGGAAGCATTCTCGCCGTCGCCCTAACCGTGGCCAGCTCCGTGACTGCTGCCCCCGCCGCAGTGGAGGAGCGAGCTCTGCAGGAGCGTGCGTCGAACATCATCATCGGCTACCGCACCGTGAGTAAGGTATGACGCTTCGAGGCTTATCCCCATCCCCACTTGTCAGTCATCAACATATTCTGACAGCTCCCTAGGAACAAGCCGCCAAGTACAACAAAGCCGGCACCCTCACCTACGAGGGCAACCGCGCCAACATCCAACTCGGCGAGGGCACTTATCTGACCGCGAACCGCGGTGGATGGGCTGGTTCTGCCACCGACTGGTAAGCAATCCCTCCCCCTTGCCCTTCACGCTGCCAGCACTGATAGGGGAAAGGTACTGCGTCATCTACGCCGACAAGACCAAGTTCGCCGCGGCCACCAAAGCCTGGATCCCCAAGACATACGGCACTGACGGCGAGATCTGGTACAAGAAGGACAAGATCGACGCCTACATCAAGGCGGAGAAGGGCACCTGGACCCCGGCCGAGACTGTGCGCGTCTCCAAGATCGACGGCGACGACCACACCTACCAGCTCGTCGTGCCGCCCAAGCTCTCCGGCAGCAAGAGTCTGCTCGGGAAGTGGAGCAAGGGCCCGCTGGATATCTCCGTCACTTGTGCCGAGAGGGAGGAGAGCTTGCCGGATTCGACGGTCAACTATGCTACCTTCAACAACATTGTGGGGACGGCGCAGTAGGGGATGACGCCGTCTAGAGGAGGCGGGTTGGGGAGTCTTGTTATCGTGCTCAAAGTGGGGTCCAGGGGGTGGGCTGTGCTGGGGAAATCTGATCATTGTTCGAGATCGCTGACTTTGGATATGCTTGGCCCATTCTGATGAAACCACAATTGTTTAAGCTGTTGTAGAAGCATGAACTTGCGGGGCCATTGTAGACGTTTGCTGAGTGCCGCCCAGCAGACTGCAGTAGACCACATGGTGTAGAAGCGAATCAGGACAACAAACATGGAATGATGCGAGGTAAGAACAGGAATGATAGGTTTCAAAATCTACAGTAAGCCGGCCAATCGTTAAGAATCTGGATTGTGCCATTCGCTGCGAGATCGTTCCTGGTCAGTAGACGTGGCAGGTTCAAGTTAATGTGTGATTCGCCGTGCAGAGTGCACCAGATACATGACACTTGCCCTGCAAGACTGGAATGCACAGGATTATATTCTAGCACAACCGCATCAATTGAGACAGAGCATCAGGCTCGTATACTAATTCGCCAGATGAGAAACGAATGACGGGAATAAGTTACAACTGGACAGATGTAGACGATTGTAGATGTGAAAGGAAACAACAGCGACCCCCCACACCGATTTCCAGAACAAGCCCCACGCCGTCGGACTTCATCGGATAGCGGCCGTGATCTTGCCGGGCTCGGTGAAAGAGACCCAATAGATTACTGTTCAGAGATAAACACAGTGCTAGGGGCAGAAGAAGTGCAGACGCGACCGCTGCCGCTGCTCTTGCAGCCGAGGAAGAGGTTACCAACGCCCCATTGCCCAGGCGAGTACTCGCCAGAACCCCTATCGCCTTCATTAGTAATTGACATTGTGGTCTCTTTCGGTTTGGGTATGACTATCAGGACAGGTAAACTCAAGGCCAGTCCGATACTTACAGATCGCCGTACGAATACATGATAGCAACTTCAAAGCTCGAGAGACCGGAATCGATGAGGTTGAACAGGTACTTGCTGTCGCTGCAAGCAGTGGCTGCGGTGGACAGGTAGGTGAGCTTGGGGCTCCGAGCCATGCAGCTCACATGTTTGTCGCCATCGGCCAGCTTGAAGGAGACATCAGTCACCTTGTTGGCCGCGCTGATGTCAATCTTAGCGTCGGTGACTGTCAGGGTTCCAGTGGTGGCGTCGGCAACGTCCCACTTGGAGGGAGCAGCGAAGGCAGCAGAGTAGCCAAGAACGGCGGTAGCGATAACGGAAGTGAACTTCATTTTGACGGTGGAGGGAAGGAGATCTGTAAAAGGTCTTGGAAGTCTTGGGGCTGTGGTATATAGATAATGTGGTTGATGATTATAATGAAGAAGTAGGATTGAAGGTACTACAAGCACCTCTTTATAAATCCTTCGTGGACTCCGAGGTGAGTACCTTCTAGGTAACACCAAGAAACGCTTGATAGCATATGTGGTGAATGCAACTTGACACCTGGTAAGCAGTGGAGGCTATCCGAGAACTACGTGTGCGGCTAATGTTGTGTCCCTTTTACTGTAGTAGTATTTGCTCAGTAGGAGGGTATACTTAGACAAGGTGACTCCAGATTCATGATCTGCTGCTGCTGCCATCTTTCCTTCCTGAGTTTCCTGGGTACAAGGCCGTGCTAGTAGAGCCTTGCACGTTTCGCCGTCTAGGAGGCGGAAGTCATTAGTACATAGTCAAGCACTGCTACATAGCAAGGAGGCCTATATCGAGACCAGGATCCGCACCTGGTGATCTCGAAGGGTGAACCAAAGTTCTACGGTATCACAGAGCCGCAGGGTCCTCGCAAATATATTGATGTCTTTAGAAAGGTGGATCCGTGTATAGACCCTGTCGCAGATGGCCTCCACTATCCGGGCAAAGACAATTGGCGGCTGAGACCCAGCCTTCAGACCCTGGCGTCGAGGGACCAGTACTATTAGAAAACTCTGATTCATTGATGGGAGCGAACATTCCACATGGACCCAGCTGGGCTGTTTTACCTGTTCGGGCTAGCACTGTAAGCAATTTTATGCAGTTACTCGATCCGGGCCTACTTCTGGCGTACCTACTGGCAGTCCTCCACATATTTGCCGAACAGCACATTTTCTACCGCTTTTCCGCTACTTCTTCCACACAATCACACAACACGGTTCTCTTCAACTTCAACATACAAAGTCCTTTCAAGTACCATTCAGATTTTCCAGATTTCTTTTCGTGATTTCGCGCAATATCTGGGAATATAAAGTGAGGATTATTCTACAAAGCAACACACATAACTAACCCTCTTACAATAGAGAACTATTGGTTTTTTTCCGGATTAGGTCTACAATCCCTATAAAGCTAAAGCTATTATGACGGCGACGCGTCTCGGGCAAGTAAGTGAAAACGAGCCCGTTGTTGAATAAATAAAGCAGTAAGTCCTCCCCGACTCTTGACGGCACCTTTCGCAGTAAATAAGGCAGCAGCACTTCTCCAAAGCTTCTAACTAAGTACGAGGCCCCGTCAAATGCTCTTTCAGATATCTCATGGCTTAGGCTTTTCATGTTTTCTGCAGTATTGAACTTACTAGAGTCAATATGCCGGAGTTGAGATGCTTTCCTTTGTCTTCCAGACAAAATCTAGTAAATCAAAGAGTAGCCCCTTGAGTGAATTCCAAACATACCGTCACCAGAGAACAAGCGGTCTTGCTAATGTAGTGATACTGCTGGAAATAGTATATCCTTGACATAGGAGTTTGGTGGGAAGGTGCGACAGGTACGTGGGGACTCGAGGTACTGTACAGAATCATGAAGTAAACAATTGCTCCAACCTCTTCGCCAGCGCCACACACTTATTGTCCACATACAGAGTGTAGTAATGCGACGCAAAAACTACCACCGTACCCAACAAAATCCCAGACCCCCACCAGGCCACATGGAACGCGAACAGATCATCCCGCAGGGCCTCCGCACTAGTCAGGTACGGGTTTCCGCTCGCCAGCAGATACACAAAATCTCGCAGGGGATTGCGCCACAGCTGGTAAATGGTCTCGTGGAGCAGGTACAGCGAGAACGAGATCTTGCCAAGATACTGCACGGGCTGGGTGTTGAGGGGCCTTTGCAGCCACGGGGACTGGGCGATCGCATAGACCAAACACGCGGCGCCCACGGACTTCCAGCACCAATGGTAGATCTCCCACCGGTCCTTCCACTTGGCAGGCTGGAGGGTAGCGAGGAACTGGTAGCCCGGGGGCAGCTGGCCGTCGCTGCCGAGGCAGAGGAGATAGTATCCGACCACGAAGGCGAGGGAGGTGATCATCCGGGAAAGAGTGAAGAGCTTTCGTAGCGAGGACCGGAGCCTGCATTGCGCGGTAGAACAGGACGGCCGGGACAGTTTCTCCTCGTCGTCGAGGTCGTCATCTGCCATCGCGCTCGCCACAGAGGTAGTGTTGATCGCCCGCTCCGCCAGCCACAGGCCCCAGATGAATCCGAAAATGTCCCAGTTGCCAGCCCATAGGAAGAACCCCGCCAGGAGGGGCAGAGCCCAGAGTCGGAGCTTGGGACGCCATGCCGACAATCCGACAGTCAGTAGATACACCACGTTGGATCCGCGGAATTCTAGAGGCATAGTCCATAGCTGGCCGTTCAGACCGCCGCGATACTCAAAGGCGATGACATTGATGCTATCGGCCATGTAGCCACACAACCACTTGATGTGGGCCCACGGGTTGGTCCAGGGTTGAAGTCCATCGAGGAACCCCTCGTCGAAAGTCCAGTGGTACAAATCGAAGAAGAATAAGACCTGGCTCAGGGTGGCCAGGACAACCACTGGCAGATAAATGCGAAAGAGGCGCCGCACGATGGCGGAGGTCACTCGCGGCAGAAACTGCGGGCTGTGGCGGGCTTTGAGCAGACTGACGGAGATGGCAAAACCGGAGATCACCATGAACAGAGTCACCATCGAATGGGCGGAGAAAAGAATGCGGATGGGAGGAAGCTGCACCAAGTGCCGATTGGCCTCGGGGGGTTCAGCCCAGAAGGAGACGAAAGGGTGCCAGATATCACTCATAAAGTAGTGGTCAATGGCCACAATCGCCGCGGCGATGCCGCGGAGGCCATCCAGCCACTGGATGCGGTCATGGGCAGTCATTCTATGCAGGCAAAGTTCGCGCCGGACATTGTCAACCGATGAGTTGTGTCACTGTCGCAGAGGCATGGATGAATCTTCAGCGGCTGAGCCCCTTTTTAATGGGGGTTCAAAAGCAAGCACCATCTCGTATTGAGGCTCGGCAAGACCCTGAAAATGGAGTCAGCCTCACCAATTATGGACACGAGAGAAACCTGGGAGTGCACTAGTCTGCGAATGAGAGAGCCGTCAGTGGCTGGAAATTTAGGCAAGCAGGCACCAAAACTGCTTTAATTAGAGTCTGCAAATTGCAGCCATGCATTTGGGCAGTGCACAGACCCACGTCCAGACCCCTTGCCCCACCGACAGGGTAAGCTGTAGTCATGGAGAGGTGTAGGGTGTCTGGAGCATACAGAGGGATGATTCTGTTGCAAATTAAGGAAAGGACTAAAAGGACTATCTCGATAAGCGACCCATTATGCAGAGATAGAATATTTTGACAGTTACGCAATGAAGATGCAGTGCAGTGAGGTTGTTCAGATTCCACAACCGAGTCATCCATGATGTTTGCAACATTTGCAACATTTGCTCAGACTGACTTCGGCCTCGGACTTTCTCCGATCCGCTCCCACCCGACTGACTACCAAAACAGCAAACACAGCAAACACTCCAAACACATCAACCACATCAAACAGTGAATCAGTCGGCATTCCACAGCGGAATGACGGCAAAGCCGGAGACTCCATCCTCAAAGGTGAGGCAAGTGTCGACATTCTCCGGCGTAAACGTGCCCACGGCCTCCCCGCTGCACGTGCTGTCGTGGTACGCCACAATCTTCCACCCCAGGTTGTTGACCGTCGTCGCCGCGTACCAGTAGTACTCCACCCCCAGGTTGAGATAGTAGCAGGCCTGCGGATCGTTGAGAGTCAGATACCCCCCGATCGTCGAGCAGTTGTTGTTCAGGCTGGAGACCTGCAGCTGCACCTCGAAGTCGGAGGGGATCGGCCAGGACGAGTCGGCCGGGATGGAGGTGACACTGCCGGTCAGGTTGGAGAGCAGATGTCCATCGTAGTTGGCGATGTGCTCCTCTGCGGCACTATCAGCACGGAGCAATCTTCGGCTGGAGAAGATCTCTTACCCAGGTTCAAGGTCGTGTTCTTGCTGTTCGCCGCATAGGTGGACTTGCAGTAGCATTGCAGAGTCGCTCCCTCATCGAGCAGGATGCATTCGCTGCAGGACTGCGAATACGCACCGCTACGGGACTCAATACTCGGCGTCGACGCATGGGGCAGGACGATGAACTTACTCGGTTTTCCACTGATAGCAGTAGGTCAGCACAAGCCCTGACGACCAGAGTTACCCCAGAAAGAGGAAGAGGAGGAACATACCGCTAGCGTGGCTTCGCTGTTGGTGATCTTGTTGGGGAGATAGACACTACTGGTGATAGTTCCACTCCCGTCGCTGGTCGGACAAGTGCCCACCAGCCAATTTTCCAGGAGATAGATATCGGTGCAATCGTCCGCAAAGCCCTGGCTATGCACCGAGGTGCACAAGCCAGCAATCAGGAGAATGGCCGAGGTGAATTGCATCTTGAACCGCGAGGAATGCTCCAGCAACTTGTCGACTGCTCATTCATCGCATTGAACCATCTTTATATACAGCAACATGAGGCTGATACTCAAGGTGCCGACATGGTCTCCGCGCATTATTAACTGGGATCTGAAATTTGTCAGGAACTACAAATCCCTCTCTCGAAGGTCCGACGATCCTGCAGGACTTGAGATGGCTCGAAACGGGCTTCGCTCCGGAATTTGGTCAAGAAACAGATTAGGGTCCATTTAGTGCTTATCTCAGCCCGCACCACAGGGTGCATTCGAGGACGACTCGGACGGAGCAGGAACAGCAGGATGAGCAAACACCGATAGAACTGCCTCGTATTCAAGGCTTGAATTGGCTACGTACTGCCATGAAGAATGAGTTTTGAGCTTGTCAGGGAGAGAAGCGGCTGCTTATATTGACGTCAGAATGAGCTTCTTCTACACCTCAGCGATGCAACCTCATTCAACGGCCCTGAAAGTGAACAGGTACAGTACAAACGTTATCCTACAGACCGCGTCAGCTCCCCTTCCCGCGGTACCCATAAGCATCCGCAGCAGTCTGCAGGAGCGAACGGTGGGGCGCACTTGGAAAACTCCGGACTCCGGCGCTCCCACACCTTTAGGCTGGGCTCAAGGACCACGATGCGAGGGCCCGAGCTGACGGTTGAGATATATGCCATTCGGACCTTTACGGTGGTGGCTTATGGGCTTTCTCCGCCGTGCACTGTGCATTGAAATTCCACTTGGTGCTCTCACTGCCGCACAACGGTGACAAGAAGGCTGGGAAGCGGGGTTCGGCGGCGCTAATAGGACCAACATGTCACGGAGAATGGTCCGGCTTACGGCCGACTATGCCCCGGGGCTTACTTTCCCGTTGCGCTGGGTACTCGATTGCTGGTGTAAATTCTTCAAGCTACATGATAGTACATTCAACGCTCCATTCTGATCGTTGCAGTCATCACCGTGCCTGCTCTGTCACCCCAGACCTCTCTGCGGCCCCCACGCGCCGCACAAACTCCCCCGCTTGTCGAGCACAAGCCTCCGCTTCCTGATGGAACCTCATAATCCAGCCAATCATGAGGACGTCGTGAGGCACCTTCTCTTCCACCACGAGCTCAATCTGTGAATCCTTGCCGGCTAATTCCTGGAACCGTCGGACCAGCCCCTGGTGATCAGGGAACAGAACCTCACGACCTCCCGTGATGATCAACACGGGCGAGGGGAGTATGAACGGATGGTGGATGGGTGCCACGTACCGCTCCACCGTCTCCGTGATGGCCAGGTCGCGCAGGAATTGCCGGGCGCCCCAGGTGGGAAAGGAGCCTGGGATGTACTCGGTGCCGTAGTTCTCGCTTTGGGTCCAACTGTCCGGGTCCACTGCGGCGGGGACATCGCACCATGGCGACCAGAGCCAGCTGCACTGTGGAGGTGGGAGTCGGGACGGGTCGTCGTACTCGACGATGTAGCGCAGCAGGGCCAGCGCAAGATGTCCCCCTGAGCTATCGCCGGATAGCACGATGCGGGATGGAGGGATCTGTAGGGTGTGAATGAGGTAGACATACGCAGCGAGGGTATCCTGTAGCTGGGCCGGGAATCGGCCAGTCGGGTAGCAGGCGAGTCGGTATTGTAAGCACAAGATGTGACTGGCCGGTGTGTGGGTGAGAAGTGTCTTCGCGAGGAAGTTGCAGGAGGAGGTGCGTCCATCACCCAGCACGTACGAGCCGCCGTGAAGATGAAGGACGACGTATTGCCCATCGGGAATGGAGGTGACGCCAACGCAAGGTTCAGGAAACCACGTGGCCCCGACGGCCTCCGGCTTGACTTCTTGATCCACTGCAACGCCTGTGTAAAAGTGGGTGTTGGCGGGATCGATCACCACAAATCGCTCCCCCTCATGGTGTGGCTTCAGTGAAATGGGCCATTTGAAGTGACAGGCCGTGTAGGTCCGAAGGAAGAGTTTTAGGAATGAGCCAGCCAGACCTTGGCGGGCGGACCAGTTAGGATCATGTCGAATTCTGTGAGTTGTTCATCAGTAACACGCGCCAAGACGGAGATGCTCAGGGAGGTGATCAAGGACAGGCACTGACCGGGAGGAAGCCATGGATGATGAAGACAGTTATTCAGGGACGGAAGCGATGGGCAAATAAACCCATGGCGATCGCAGCCAAGCTTAAAAGCCAAGAAAGACTTTGTTCAGCCCTACGGGGAGGGGTTTTTGAAAAGACATCACTATGATGTCGTCATGAGGCCCATTCACGGCAGGCAACATCATTTCTCTTTTCGGTTAGTGTCTTGCCTACGTATCATGGATCTCCCTGCTCATTCCTTGAAACAGGCTGAGGTGCTCGTTTGGTCTCCCAAAAATGGGGTATCGGCCAGATTCTGCCAGAACCCAAGGTCCAGGTCCCACGAGAGCTGGCTTTGAAATTCTTCCCAGTCGGCGAGGGTCGTGGTGCGGGGAGACGGCACTCCTGGTCCCCGCAATGCCGCAATGCACCCGCTGTAATGAAATCCTGGATAATACCTTGGAGATCAGATCATAATTTGGGTCTTGCAGTTGCACCACTGATCCACCTGACAGCTCCGCAGCCAAAAGAGTCAGATTCTGGATCGCCCGTGGCCGAGGGGTCGGGACCGGAGCGGACGAACAACGTTGATTCAACACGGCTAAGAGAATGATGCCCGCGGCAGGAAGGCCATAATGCACGATTTGACAGACCTGAGTCAGTTTATGTTCTACTAGACGCTGCTCATCGATCCGCCTCATACCTTCCACGTCGGACTTGTGCCCGAATTTGTGAGCTGGTCGCGCACCATCATTAATGCGACAACAGTGGCCAAAATTTGCTCGGCGAGGGTTACAAGCTCCTGACTGGGGGTGGGAGGAGAGGATAGGACCACAAGACGAAGCAGAAACAGGACATGCAAGTGATTGAGCTGGGCGCTGGCGAGAGAGTCCCTCTCAACACCGTCTTTTGTGGTCTCCTTCAGGCTTTCCTCCAACCGGAACTGTCGCGGGTGCTCATCCCACAATCTCCCAGCTTGTGCTTGTAGAATACCAGCAAGATTAGTAAGGCTCTTATACGCTTCATGCCGATGAACGGAAATACCGGACTTGCTGCTGGAACTCGTCGCTCTTCTTGTCGCGTTGCAGGTATAAGATATCTTCCTTGAGGCTTGCACACAACGCAGACCAGCAAGTGACTCAGCCACATAAGAGGGACAGCTGCTGGGCTCCAATCGGGAGTGATGTCACTTGGGTCTGAAGACAGATCCCAGTGGCTGGTGTCCGCAGGAGCCGAAGGGATCTGAAAGTCGCAGAAATGGCGTGGCATCCGCGGAGGCCGACCGAGGAAAATGGCCATGTTCTTATCGGCGGAGAAGATTCGCATGCAGTTCGACGCAGCTCTTGGAGAAAAACAGGGGCATTCCGCTCCAGACCGTTGGTCTGATGCACCGAGACCAAATATTGACGCAATACCATCCCCAAGTCGTCTCCAATACTGATAGCCTGAGTCCTGTACGTGCAAAGGAACAGGTATTGCCCGGATGGGAAAGATGTACTGACTCTGATCGCCTGCCATGTACGAACGAACGATGAGGTTCTCGACTGAAGTACTAGCTGCAGGTCATTGAGCTGGTCCAACGACAAGGCTATCTCAAGAGCACAGTTTGCGACAAGGAAGCATCGCTTTCGAAGATCATATATGCCATTGTTCTTTGAGTACAACACCTACTCCGATTCTTTACAGAACACGTAGAGATGATGCATCGACCGCGGTACTCCGACTGGGTCGTATGTCTTGCGTGCAGCTCGACGTCTGCCTTGGACATCGCCTATCCGATCTTCTGCAACCGAGGAGATACTGTTCTGACTGAGTGCTATACCGCCGTGGAAGGAGCAGGTCTGCAGGGCATCCGAGTGCAGGGAGTGGCCATGGATGCAGAAGGACTGCGCCCGGATGCCTTGGACGAGATATTACGAATATGGGACACCTCGGCTTCCTCCAAGCCCCGTGTCTTGTACACGATCCCCACCGGGCAAAACCAGACCGGGGTTACTCAGGGTCTGGCTAGACGGGAACAGATCTGATCTATCAGATTGCGGAAACGCACGACCTGATTGTCATCGAAGATGACCCATATCACTTTCTGCGTCTGGGCATGCAGTTTGACGACGAGCTCAATGGGCAGGGCAATGGAGGTGATAGCGTGCTCACCGCCATCGACAGGTTTCAGGCGCAAGCAGTCCCATCCTATCTCTCGATCGATCGATCTGGTCGCGTTGTCCGCTTAGATTCAACATCCAAGATCCTGGCCCCTGGTCTTCGTGCCGGGTGGGTGACTGCCTCATCGCAGGTCATTCGCAAATTTGTGGCCTACCAGGAGGTCTCGACGGTGGGAATCAATGGGCCGACTCAGCTCATGCTTTGGAAGTTGCTCGATGAGACGTGGGGTCACGAAGGCTTTTTGTTGTGGTTGTCGAATCTCTCACGGCAGTACCAGTTACGTCGTGATATGCTGTTGCGGGCTTGTGAAAAGTATCTTCCTCGCGGACTTGTGTCCTGGAATTGTCCCCAGTATGGGATGTTTCTCTGGCTGCAGCTCGTTTATCGCCAGCATCCCTTGCTTCGCCACCAGACGACAATCGACTTCAATGTGAAGGCTTTTCCGGCCGAAAAGGAAATTCGGATCGTGTCGAGGGCTCTGGAACATGGAGTGCAGGTTACGAAAGTGTCATTGTTCTCTCCTAGCCCGAAGCGCCAGGGTATGTTCTACATCCGATCGACGTCTGCGGCTGCACTGGCGAAGGATTTGAGCGCAGGTATCAAGCTTTTGTCAGATGTATAGCGGGAGGAGTTTGCCTTGGAAGCCCACATGGTGTAGCAATAACGTGGAACCGGCCTGGGTCCTTCATTCTACTTTTAATCGATGGTAGAAAGCTAGGTATGTTTGGCACTTGACCGAATTGGAACATCGAAATTCTATTCTATCGATTGGGGACGGGCTGCTTGTTTATAAGTTATATATGGCTGGTGCACGCATATGAGCATTAGATCCTTTCGGGGTGGATCACGATTTGCGAAGACCAAGGCAAAGCTGGGTCGCTTACACTATAACGTCCCTTCATTCTGTTTCAACCACTCGCTCAACTTCTGCGCGGCGTTGAATCGATGAGACAGTCCATTCTATGTACTGTGTGAGCAAGACGGTGCCATCATGCGACGTTCTAGTTGTTCTTACCTTTTTGTCCACATCCATCTCGGCCAATGTCTCCCCGTCATATTCGAAGATGGGTTCCCACCCTGAATTGCTGTTAGTGACCGGGACATGCCAATTGAAGACCAAGCCTACCAAATGAGGAGGCCCCCCTCGCGGGAACTATCTTGCCCTGGTCGAGATGAGTGAATTGCCAAGCGATATGATCCCAGGGTAGTAGTGCAGTACTCACCAATAGCCTACCCTGGAAGAGGATTGGCTCCGCCCCTGGTCCTGGCGAATAGCCTATGGTACAAACGGCCTCTGCGGTCTTATCCTCAAAAGCAGCAAGCATCTTGTAGAGACCCTCGTTGCCGACGCTCTCCACAAAAGCTTTGCTGTATTAGTCGCAACACACCCATCAGTCAGCCTTTCCTACTCAAGCACAACAGAAATACAGGGCGGACAAACACATAAGGTCCCGGCAGACGGTTCAGAGCATGCATTTCCAGCGCAGAGTCCTCGACTAGGACTGGACCAGCAATCTATTGAATGGGGTCAGTTTGCGCCAGTCAAAGTTCGACCACTTCGGGGTACCTTCTCGGCGGCCACACGGCATTTTTCCCGGGTGATCTCTACCACGGTGCCTTGAATCTCGGGCAGATCGAGGTCGACTGAACTCAAGGTGACTGAGCTGCCTAAGATTGCATTGAGCTCAGAGATCTTGTGCCTATTCCCAGTGACCAGGGTGAGAGTTAGCATGATGAGTGTTTGGTGACTGTCTTGTAATGATAAAGTAGATAAGTACTAACAGAGTAAACAAAGTACGGAATAAACACTCACGAAAAGAAGCAGAAATGACTCACACTTGCCGCCCTTCACCGCCCGGTGTGAAAGGGGAGCCAAGGGCATCTCAACACCCTGGGAATGCTATTTTATACCCTCAAACAGGGTCAGTGAGAATAGCCATAGCTATGAGCGTAGGACAAGACATGCCTAAAATGACTGTCTGTCTCTGCGAGTCACAGGATTACTACCCTTGCTCACTCACACCTGTTGGGGAGGGGGCTGCCACGTGACCTTCATCGCGCCTTCACCTTCACCTGCTAGAACACCACAGAATTCATGATTGAGCCATTGAACGGGGGGTAACATGCCGGAAAGCACCGCTTGGCAGCATCATTGCTGGTTGGGACAGTAGCGGCAGGCAGCAGATCGTCGGTGGTGTCCCGCCATAGGCAGGTCTGGAGTCAGTCCGAGTCCCAGCAATCCTTTTTCTCTTCTCTTGGAAGGGTGGTGTCATTGAGGTGTCATGGGGAAATGGGAAGGGGAGAGGACTGTTGCGTTTCGGTGACGGTGACGATGGTGGAAGATCGTTGGTGGGTTGATTGGTGCTGTTAGGGCAGAAGAGTGCCGAAGCGCCTATCTTCGACAGCTGGCAAACCCCGGATGCAAGCCAGAGGAACCTGTCATTTGTCAATTATGCCGAAGCTTTCTCGCTCAACCAACAGAGCAATTGTGGAGATCTCAATGTCTCCATTGAGCTGCACCGAAATGCGGAGAATGTGGGGAAGAGCGGGGAAAGGAATCGTAGTAGGAAATACTTGTATATCTTTCACAGTGACCATGCCCAGTGTCAATCGAAGAGTAATGCGATAGACTGGCCAGGTTGGAGCTGCTCATTCAACCAGCCTCAAAAGGCTGTGTTCAATAGGGTCACGCGCGGAATGGCCCGGGTCGGGGGGGCAGCTGGCCGGTGGACCCTATATCTTGGAGCGACGTAGCCCCCAACTTCCCGTCCTGCTCTGCTCCCAACGCAGGACCATCATCTCTGCCAGATCCCTCCTCAATCCAAATGGTTCAGGTCAAGAAATCGGGCGACGTAGCCCCAAGCGATCCCCATGCCTCCAAGCCACGAGTTCAAGAGGGGAAACCCGTGAGGGATGCAGACACACAGCGCCTCGAGGAGATGGGGTACTCACAGCCGATGGAGCGAAAGTACTAGGTGCTATCGGTGCTGGGTGCAGCATATTCTCTGACCAATTCGTGGTGGGGAGTGTCTGCCTCTCTGGTAACTGGCATCAACTCCGGAGGGTCAGCCTTACTCGTCTATGGGGGCATTTTGCTGGCCCTGGTCTCCACAGCCGTGGCGGCAACTCTTTCGGAACTGGTCAGTGCCATGCCAAATGCTGCTGGACAGTCGTTCTGGGCCAGGGAGCTGATCCCTCGCAAATACGCTCGACTTGCCTCCTCCATCACCGGCTGGCTGGCCTGGTCGGGGTCAATCTTTGCGTTAGTTGTGCTCTGGGTTTATGTTTTCCCGTCTGTGATTGAGCAATATGCTGACGAGCAGCCTGTATTTAAAAGCTCTGCCAGTGTTGCATCGGGTGTTGCATCGGCCTGTGTAGGGTCTTAAATCCTGTCCCATCCAGCACTGTATGTCCTTTCTCCTCCAAAAGCCCGGACAAAGTTTCTGACAAATGTAGAAAAATAAAACCTTGGTACACGCTGGTAGCATACCAGGTCGTCAATCTCTTCTGTTTCTTCTTTAATATCTACGGACGAACCTTGTCCTTCGTCGGCAATGCGTGTCTTTGGACCAGCCTCGGTGCCTTCGTCGTCATTCTCATTGCGGTTCCCGCACGTGCTGCAACTCACACCTCCCCAAACTTTGTCTTCGCTACCTTCTCCAATGCTTCGTAAGTACGTAGGTTGGATTGTACCCACTGTGGATACGTGGGTGACGAACCTTTGCCCTACGAGCCCGATTTGGTGGACTGCAAGTAGCAGCCCGGTCTGCTCATGTTATTCTTTGGGAGCACAAGGTCATGCTTTTGAAAGATCACATACTCTCAAAATTCATTGACAGCCAGGAATAAGCAGTTGAGAACGAATGGCACGCCGGAGTCGGAGTGTCAAAGGCATATGAATGTTGAATGTTGTAGATGGAAGGTTCCTGGATTTTGACAGGCAGGTGTAACAGCCACCCGTTACTGTTCCAAAGCCTTGACTCTGCCTCAAATCCACCCAATCCACTGATTGGAAATGACATTCCAACTAGATAGCCAGCCTATGATGGAGCAATCCAATGGGAGCCTAGCAATTATGGAAAGTTGATCCATGATGACGAGGCCTCAAAAGGTTCCTGAAAATGGCCGTGGGTTACGTAATGCCATCCGTGGTTGCCGCGGCGCTTATTTTTTTCTTTCCGCTTTGGGTCATCCTTCATCTTCTCCCCTTATACTTCTTACCTCAACCTACGCTTCACGCTGTTTTGACCGGGCATATACGCGACAAAACGCAGCCCGTTATCGTTGATTGCGGTCGTGAGACCACGAGGACGAATGTGGTTCATCACTCGGTTCATGCCAATGATACACAATCTGAAGCAACCCCCCCGCCCTCCCCCCCGAAGCCGAGATGGATGGTCCTCACACCAAGACCCCACATGTACAAAGTATAGCAAGCGAGTCGGGCCCAGGCAATCATGTTCGCATACTAGCTTCAAAGCTAAGATTAGACTAGTTCTATTTCTGTATTGGTTCCCACTCTTCATCTACGCTACCAGATCTTGTAGTTGTGAGATGACGACTGCTGTCCGGCCCTCCAGGAATTGCGCACCCCGTCCACTTTGCGCCTGAGAAAATGCCAAATCAGCTGAGCCAAAACTTTACCGGCACCGACAAACAGACTTGAGGCCCAGAACATGACGCCTTGTTCAGGAACCGGGCCCTGCTTGTCCACGGTCTGGACTGTGCCGTAGAAAGCGAGACACGCCTTCTCATGATGTGTGCAATTTATACAGCCCGGTAAGCCTTCTCCCCCGGCTCCAGGAACGCAGTGGTCATCCCGGAACGTTGGATCAATGCCTCCTTCAAGTACTCGCGTGTCCGTGGTTGAGGATGTGGTTATTCCTGCCCATTTACTGGCTTCAACAACACCATCGAATCATCTGTGGAACAGCTCGCATTGTGATCGATCAAAGCAGGGCCCTATTCAGCAGGCAATTCAGACAGCCGCATTTGAAAGGAAATTCGGACGTCTGCGGCGCTCAGCGACTATTAGCGGCCACCAACCCCCAAAAATTAGAACAATGGCGAATACTCGACGTCTGAGCGAACCGCTGGGTGTATCCGAGCTGAGCAGCATCACTGAAATCCAATCACCATGCTTCTCCCCGCGTCCGGACTTTGATGCCGGTGCTGAAGGGGCACGTTCACCAGAACACCCAGTTCAGGTCAATGAGCAGATTGCCGATGAAGGTGTTCAATTCCCACACGATATCCAACCAAGGGACGGTTTGGGAGCTTCCAATTCGGTTCCCGGAACCCGGGATGGCGCATGGCCTCTTCCACCACGTCCCCAAAGCTACCGAATCTCTCGCATCGAAACCGGAACTCGGCCCCGTACAGCGCGACAGGCAGCACGACATAGCATCTATCATATCTACCAGAAAGCCAAAGAGCGGCGTGCCGCATTACAACGGAAATACTGGGCTCAGGTGTTGTTCGAATATGCTGTCTACCTGCTCCTGATAGCATTCATCTACTTTGTCCTCGTTGGTATTCCACTCTGGAAGGGTGCAGCCTGGTGGATATATTATGTGGTGCGCTTCAAATTTGTGATTCAGGGCGGTTGGGCGATTACGATAGGAGTTGCGTTTTTGTACGTATCCTGGTTGAGTCAGTGGTGGAATTGTGGAAAATCACTAACGCTCTCTCTTTCTGGCTAGCTATGCCTTCGAACCCTTGCTCGTCTCTTTCGAAAAGGATCCTCCTGCAGCACCAGAGAAGCTAGAAGGCCCCAATCTAGAACACAACCGGAAGACAGCCCAGGCCACAGCCCTACTTATTCCCTGTTACTAGTCGGCAAACATCATTGGACCTACCTTGGAAGCAGCCCTGCGCATCTTCCCACCCCAGAACATTTTCGTGATTGCCAACGGAAACGCTCCGGAGCCACTAGACAACACTGAGGAAGTTTGTCGTCCGTACGGAGTGAATCATCTGTGGTGTCCGGTCGGAAGCAAGATCATCGCCCAGTTTGTAGGCTGCTATGCGGCCAAGCACTTTCCCAACGTGTTGCTGATCGACGACGATTGCGCTCTGCCGGCCAATTTCCCGGTCGTGAGTGACCGGTTGAAAGGACGCGTACAGTGCATCGGGTATACTATCAAGAGCGTCGGGCCTGGATCATCGCGAGGGACGTTTTGCCAGCAGGCACAGGACTTGGAGTACAAGATCTCGGGTCTGCAGCGCGCCTTCGCGGGTGTTCTGGGCAGTGCTACATTCCCACACGGCGCCATCTCCTTGTGGCGCACGGACTTTCTCAAACAGACATTCCATGATCATCCCGGCTTCTCAGTGTCGGAGGACTGGTTCTTTGGGGATAGCTGTCGCCGGCTGGGCGGGCGCATCACCATGTGCTCGGCGGTGTTTGTCGAGACCGAAACTCCATCGGCGGTGTTCTTCAGCAGTGGTGGCTCTCGCGGAGGGTTTGGCGAGATGACCATCTTCAAACAACGCTTCATGCGTTGGAACTTCTTCTTCGTCAACGGGATGTACTTCAACATGAAGTATATTCTGTGTAATTGGAACCTAGGCTGGTGGGAGCTGGGAGCCAAAGTGTTCGTCTTTCAGGAGGTAAGCCGCGATTTTGCCTTGCCCGAGCCACGCAAGACTTTCAGCTAATGGCGATCAAAAAGGTGTACGAAACGCTCCTCTATCTTGTGGCGCCCTTTATGCTGCCCATCTCCTTCGCGGTGCGGCCGGCCTTCTGCGGGATCATGCTGGGCGCCACCAACGGCTTATACTTCCTCAATGTTGTCCTCTTCAACCTCATTCACCTGCGCAAGAAGAAGGAGTCTGTCAGCTGGACTTGCTTACTTGTCTACTACATGCCCTACAAGATTGTCTTGTTTCTGATCAATGTGGCCAGTTGCTACTGGTCGCTGTTCAAGTATGCCCGCTACTTTGCCAATCGTCATCCCAAGGTGATCGAGGATGACAAGGCGGTGGAGGTGGTGCTTCGTCTGGAGGAGACAATTCGCATGCCCTCAGAAGAGACGAAGAACCTCCCTGGGCTGGGGAGACGTTTCTCAGTCACGAAGGTACGAGCTCGGCGGCCGACGAATGCCTCGCAGCAGCCGTCCGTCAGCATTCGGGCGTCTGTGGTCGGTGTGGACGGTAATTGGATTTAAAATGGTAGGGGTAGAGTCTTCAATCACTGCTCGCGCTTTCACCATCCTGTTAGAACTCTCAATGGCATCCAATATGATGATTGTCCAAACACCCTGTCCGAAAGACCAGTCCCTGCAGATCCCACTCAACCACATTCAACCTCCTAGATGAAGCGCCCAATCACCTCAGTCTAATGGTACATCTCGTTCTCGCCCATCACAACCGCGTCCTCAGCCTGCATCCATGCGGCCGCCCTGTCCTCCTCATCCGACCCATCGTCCTCATAAGTCTTGGCCGCCACCAGCACCAGGGTTCCATTGTCGATCAGCGGTCCCAATCCCGCGGGAACATACCACTGCTCCCCACCACCGGGCTGACCAAACCACGGCAGCACCTCGCCATAAAAGGCCCAGAAGGGTCGCCGCACCTCATACTGCCAGTAGTTGTACAGCGTACTATCGTTGAAGATGTTCAAATTGCTAGGCGGGATCGAGCGTTGCGCGAAGGAGGTCTCGGGCGTGGCCAGGTACCCGCCGCGTGGGGACCCGAAACGATCGACTCGCGTGCCCACCTCCAGCGTGACATTCTCGGGGCACCCTTTGAACCCATCGTTCTGGGGGTAGTAATACTGCGTGTTGAGGTACGGCCCCGCGGTGAAGTTGGACCAGGTGCAGAGCCAGTCCCGCGGGCATTGGCTGTCCAGAGGTTTCCAGTCGATGAAGAAGTCGGTGAAGTTGCTGGCGGGCTCAAAGTTGGCGGGGCCCAACAGGCGGTTGTTGCAGATGCAGTACGAGCAGTAGTAGGATCCAGAGACGGGGTCCGTCGCGTTGGGGGTCACCCCGTCGCAGGGGTTTTGGCAGCTGGGCGGGTAGTTTTGGATCCCGTCTTGGTCGGGCGAGCCCCCGCGGGGTTCCAGCTGGCTGTTGGGAGAAGAGGTCGGTTTGTTAGGGGCTGCCTGGGTGAGCAGGCCAAATAGAGGCAGTGCTAAGCAGAGAAGCTGGGGAAGGCTGGTGGGCTGGGATGCCATTTTCTGGTGTTCTGTCGGGTGGCTTCACTAGGGCTGATGGAAGGATAGGGGAGCGGCCAAGCGGGTCTGACTGGCGGTGGAAGAGAAACGAGCAGGCGACTACATTGATCTCTTTATAGAGGTCTGCAGATGGTTGAAGACCGGGGTCTGTCAGGAGCATCTCCACAGCTAGAGCCATTCGGTATGTGGTTGCCCGTGACAGGAATTCGAGCGTGGAGCTGAGGAATGTTGTCCCTGCGACCAGGGCGCATAAACCAGACGAAGTAGCCTAGATACGAGAGATGCGCCCAGCAATTCGAAGCCTCACACCCAATGGTGTCTCGTCTTGTTTGTTATGCCCAGGGATTGCAGGGCGGTACCTTTTCCTAAAGGGTTCCGGTACATTGCTTGGCTGCAGACCAGACCACTAGCTCTTTGTCTCGATACGCCAGAGATGCATCATCGCTATTTTCGAATGCTGCAACAAATTTTGAGGGAGCTTTTACTCTAGTGGCAGCGGCCCATGGTAAGGTGGAACTAGCAAGAGGTGGAGTGGGTGCTCATAGACGCACAGTATGCGAGGTTGGAGATGCTCGGGCAGTTGGTTAGACAGTCAATGATGTTTATGGAGAGCCATTTCTTGGACCCAGTATGAATCTAGATGGATGACATTTAGTATTTGGGGTAGACAAGAGCCAAGATCGGCATATTTTTTGGTCAACTGTCAGCGGTGTTGCGTGAGGAAGAGCATGATTCTAGTACATAGCAGGCCAAGGGGGTCTGTATAGAGCCTTTTCTACTGTTAATAATAGTAGTATTTAGTTATAAAGAGTGATTATTGGTTATTATATAGTTGTGATACAGTTATAATATAGTTATAGTATAGTTAGAATATAGTTATAGTAGTAAAAAATAGTCTTAAAATAATAAATATTATTATATAATAGAAAGAGTATATTACAGAACTATATATAACTAGTATTAAAAATAGATTACTTAATAATTAATTCTAATATTAACAGTTATCTTAAATATTATAGAAATTTCTTATGGTTTATTTCTATATTAAATTAGTTATTTTTCTATTCTTTAACTATAGGTTAAGAAGTAATAATAATATTATTAAGATTTTTAAATATATAAAATAATATTTTAAAATATAAAAATAATAGAAATTTTTATAATATTTTATATAAAGTTAATATTCTATATATACTATATTAAAACTGTTAAAATTAAAAAAATATAAACAGATTTCTGTAAAAAATCTAATATAAATATTTTTTTAATATTAGAATCAGAGCTTATTAGAGCCTATTTACTTAAATATTTAAAATAAAAAAGTACTAATAAAGAATCTTTTTAAATTACTTATAAAGATTTTATAAGAAGAAATATAAAATATTAATAATTAAAATAGTATATAATTCTACAAGAAAGATAAAATAAAGTAGAATAATATTAAATAAATAATTAACTATAAAGTAGATAAGAACTAATAAATATTAATAAATATAATATAAAAAATATAAAAAATCATAAACTAACTATTTAAAAATCTTAATATAATTCTAAAAAAATAGTATTATATTATTATACTAGATTAGAATACTCTAAAAATACTCTGTTAAATATATTAATAGAAATATTTTAAAAATTTAATTTATTAAGTAGATTTTTAGTCTTCTAAAATCAAGTTATTTAAACAGAATATATTTTTTAATTATAGAATTATATTTATTTAGTAGAATATAATAATTTAAAAACTATAAATATAGCTGGCAGAGTTTTAAGATTAATTAAATTTAAATAAAAAAATTATAATTTTAAATATTATTAAATCTAAGTTATAGAAACTATCAAATCCGATCTATTTCAAAAAAATAGATTATAAGATTATATAGCGAGATCTAATTTGTCTAGATTTTATAAATTCTAAAAATAAAAATAAAAATAATTAGAGTTAAGATTTTAGATAGTAAAAAAATTATTTTATATTTATTTATATTTCTATTTTCTGCTTAATATATTATAGTTTATTAATAGTTTATACTTTATAGTAAATAATAGAAAATATATTTTAATATAAATATTTAGAATAACAAGATTTCGGAGCTATTTATTTTTTAAAACTAGTAATTTATTTATAAATAGTTAGCTAGTTATCTATATTATAAAAAATAAAATATATTATTATCAGATATAAATCTTTTCAGATTTTAAGATTTAAGTAATAAAATAATTATAATAAAATACTAAAAAGCTTTTTAACTGTATATAATAAATTAGAATATTATTAAAATTAGAATAATATAGTATATTAAAGTTGCTGAAATTTTTTAAATAATAATAGTATAAATCTAAATAATATATTTTAATAATAAACTTAGTTTAATTTACAAATAAAATATTAGAAGTAAAACTAAAGTATATTTAAAATATTTTTAATAAAACTAAGTTTTATTAGTCTTATATTATAAGACTAGCAGAAATAGAATAAATATTTATTTAAATTTAAATAATATTTATATCTAAAGATATTTAAATACTAGTAAATAAAATTAATAAATAAATCTAATAATTTTCTGAAGTACTACAGAGTATTTCTTTATATTTTTTAGATCTAAAATTTAAAATATAAAGTTTTAAAAACAGAGACTAAAACTCTTTTAATTTAAATAAAAAATATTATATAGTTAATTAAAAATAAGATTTAATAATAGTACAAGTAATTTAAGTAGTAATAGATAAGATAATATATTTTTAAATTAAAAAACTAAATCTATTTAATAAATAAAAAAAGACTTTTTATATATTTTCGGAATAATTTAATCTTAAAATAATACTAACTATATAAAAGAAAGTTAAACTTTAAGTTATATCTACTATTTTTTAGATAATAGTAGATATAATATCTAAACTTAGTACTATAGCTTTAAGTACTAGAATTTTTTATTTATTAGAATATATTACTAATAAATATAATAATAAATATAATAATAACTATATATATTTTATAAAGATATATATAGAATTCTTAAAAAAAAGTCTAGATCTTTTTTTAAAATATCTAAATATTATCTTTTATTTTTATATTATAAGAACCTAGTATTAAAATAAAAAAATTATTAAAATAATATTATTTCTAATAAATTAATTCTACTAAAATAAGATAAAAAGTTTTTAAAGCTTTATATATATTTTAATATACTCCAAAATTATTAATAAATAGTAAAAATAAACTTAATTAAATATTAGATTACTTAAATAACTACTAGAAGTACTTATATTTATAATATTTGATTTTTAACTCTGCTTGAAAAAAATATATCTTAATATATTATTAAAACTTATAAATAGATAGATAAAGTATATAAAAAATAATAATTAAATTATTATTTAGAATAATCTAATAAAAAAGTATAAAATTAATTTATTTTAAGACTAATAATACTAAGATTTTTAGATACTTTTAATATTTAACTAAAAAGTAAAAATAGTTATAATCTAATTTAAAAAGATTAAAATAGTTTTTATAAAGTCTAGATAGTTAATATTATTCTAATATTAATTATATAGTTAAAATAATCTAATTACTAGTAGAAAAAAATATTTATTTATTAAGTTTTATAAAAATAATCTGATTATATTAAATAGAAATTTTATAATCCTAGAGTATCTTATAATTTATCTAAATAAAATTATCTAGTAGTAATAGATTTTTATTAAAAAAAATATATATTTATTAAATATAGTTACTAAAAAGAATCTCTATATATAAGAATACTAGAGCTTAATTAGATTATTAAAATATTTAATTATTTTAAAATATAGCTTTTTCTGGCTAAACTAAAATAATAGAATATAGTAAAACAGCTCTAAAAGATTTTATATAATCTAAAATTTTTTTAGAATTTTCTTAGCAAGATCTTCTTTAGATAATAATTAAGAAAAAAACTATATTATTAGATTAATATTAACTTTATATTTTTTAGTTAAAAAAAAAATAAAAATCTTTTAATAGCTTGTTTAAGAGTGTCCAGCTTTTTTAAAAAAATTTAAATTAAAAAATTATTAAGTAATTAGAATATTTCTATTAAGCTAGTATAGTATTTTTAAAAAATCTTTGTATTAAAAGCCCAGATTCTAAAAATAAAAAAAAATCAGATAAAAAATCTATAAATAAAATTAAAAACTATTTATAAAAAATTAATTTAACAGATTTTTATTTATTATAGGCTTAAAATAAGAAGAATATTTTAAAAGAAAATATAATCTATTTTAAAATATATATATTTCTGTTAAATAAATATTATTAGTATTATTAAGAGAGGTATTATTAAGAAAAATATTATTAAAAAAAATATTATTAAAAAAAATATTATTAAGAAAGATATTATTAAAAAAGATATTATTAAAAAAATATTATCAAGAAAGATATTATTAAGAGAGATATTATTAAGAAAAATATTATTAAAAAAGATATTATTAAAAAAAATATTATTAAAAAAGATATTATTAAAAAAGATATTATTAAGAAAGATATTATTAAAAAAATATTATTAAGAAATATATTATTAAAGAATATATTATTAAGAAAAATATTATTAAGAAAGACATCTAAGTTTATTATATATTAAATTATTAGCAATATATAGAATATTAATAAAAAAAAAACTTAGTATTAGTCTAATACTAGAATATTCTTACTATTAAATTTCTGTTTATTAAATAAATAAAAAGTCTTAGTTTTTAAATAAATAAAAAGTTAGTTAAATTATAGATATAATAAAAAAAAATATACTTAGTAAAGCTGTTTAATTAGATATTTTAATTTTTAGACTATTAAACTAATAAAGAATATAAAAACCCGATTCTTTTATTTAAAATATATTTTTAACTATAAAAAAAATTAATATATAAAGCAACTAAAAAACTTAAAATAATAGAATAAAAGAAAAAGATTACTAGTAGTATAATATCTACTAAAAAAAAAAATAGAATTTATAAAGAAATAGAATTAAACTTTTTTTTTAATAGACTATATAATAATAATAATACAAGTTAAATTACTATTATAAAATCAGTAAAAATATATTATTATAAAAATATTAATAAAATATTAAGTTTAAGAATTATAAATATTAATTTAAAAATAGAAAAAATAAATATAAGATATATTTATAAATATCTTATAGTATATTTAGAAGATAGACTTATAGTATTATACTATTAATTAAGATTAAGATATATTTATATATTTTAATATACT